CTCAAAAAGGACAGCCATCCATAATGCGACAATAGTAACATAGACAGTATAACATAATGATCAAATTTTATGAATAAAAAATAAAACTAATTTTCTAAATATTACAAAAGTCAAATGTGTTCATCTATGAATTTTATACCATAGACATGTCCCAATTTCAAATCAAACAAATGTGGTTTTTCAACTATTCTATCACATCTCCAAAAACATTAGATTTAAGCGTAAACTTACTACTTCTTAGGATTAAAATTAGTTATATATATAACCAATCGTCAATGTTAGACCACAATTAATGTTCTTGGAATTAGTAACAAAAAACATAGATTATTAGTGAACAAACCATATATATTGGAAAATATGTGTATATATATGTTTGGCAACATGTGGTTTCTATATAAGAGATTATGTGTAGATTAAGGAGTGAATAAAGAAGCTTGAAGAAAAAGAGAGAAGGCAAAAGTGTGGGGTTAAAGAGCCATGTGATATGATCCTTCAAACATGTGGTTTTCTTTTTCAAACCCTTTTGCTTTCTTTCTCCTCTCTCATTATCAACAAGCACACATATTATATATTGAGAGTGAGTGTGTGTGTGTGTGTGTGTGTGTGTTTGTTTTTCATAAAATTTGTGTGTCAAGCTCAGTCTCGCACTCATATCTACGCAGCATCTTTTGGTACCAAACACATGTGGGGTTACTTTTATGGTATCGATAGTTTGGTTCATATTTGTTGGAAAAAGTGATGCATATGATTTTTTTTTAGAGAAATTAAACAAAACTAAAGCTTAACGATATTTAAAATTGTGAGCCAAGTTTTATGCAACACAAAATCACCATTACATATATCTTGTGTTATAACAAGACCTTTAAAAGAAATTCAAGACCGGCTTATGATTTATATATCAGTAAATCCTTAAGAGTTTATCTCTGTAAATGAAAGTTTCTAATCTCACAAAGCTGTAGTTAGAAAAGAATTGTTTATCCTAAATGAAACTGTAACTAAGAATCGCATGCTTTGCGAGATGATAAATGAGTTTAGTCTTGTATACTTATTATATATATAGACATTACATGTGTCTGCATATATTACATGTATGTATACTAACATCTATATTTTATACATTTTGCTTGCAAGACACTCTATCAAAAGTATTGCATATGCTTGTGTCTTACTTCAACTCTCTTTTATTTGGTAAATATAATCTAGTTACTCAACAAAAACACTAAAAAGAAGAAAGTTTTCACATGCATTGTTTCAGAGGGTTTGATTCCTTCCCTCCACATTTTCATTTCCAATACCAGTTACACCTTTTTTACTTACTTTTATTGTAAATAGTTATATAATGCTAACAAATAAATAGCCTATAAACATAAGAAAGAGCTTATCATAGTTTTTTTCCTTTATTTTTTCAAGCTTACCATAATTGGATTGCACAAAATTGATGGATTTTTCTAGTTAATGACGAAAAATAGTGGAAAATTTTAATATACGACGGATTTGCAGTGGTAGTCAAAAGCTGTATGTATATTCGTCGGAACTCGGAAGCAAATCAATAGCAAATTTAAAAAAATTTGTGACCACATTTTTGCTACGATTTGTAGCGTACATTTGCGACATCTTTTCTAGTATCAAATTGTAATGAATACAAATGTAGAAATTTGTCTGAATTTTGAAAGTTAAGTTTTGTTTGTCGGACGTCATCAGCATCAAAGGGGTCTACCGGCGACGAGAGACTGTTGAAAGCTAGCAGCAAGAGTCGGGTTAAAAAATATTTCAACTCTAATACTCTTAAGCAAAACCATTCAATTGAAAGAGATCGTCTTCTATGAGTATCTTCTACAATTTATTTATTTTTCAAATTTATAGCCAACAATTAACTCCTAGATGCAATTTATTGTCATAACAGTCAAACTTTTAGGTGTAAAATTTCACATATAGAATCAAATGGCATGTTTGCAAACAAATGAATCCAACTTCTTTCAACTAGTTCCCTTGAACCACCTTAACATGATCAATCTCACATAATCTAACAAATAGTATAGGCAAAGCCGATATAATACAAGCTAAGAACATCACAGATTCACAGAAAATAGTACCAAAAAATCTTAGAATGATCCAAACCATAAGATAAGATCACCAACAAAAAATTTTAGTTTTGTGAAATAGCAAACCAATAGTGTTTTGCACATGTACCTCTTCTGTGCTTTGATCCAAAATTCAGATCAAGGTTATAATATTGCCAGTTTAAATTAGAAATAGCTAGCAGAATCTAAGTTACATACGGATCCACGAAACGGGTACCAGAATCCGAATCCATGCCCGACATCCCATGGCTCAGATGTTGGGATATATGAATATAAGCCAAGTGATAGAGAGTTGGTGACATCACCACAAAGATATAGATCTATTATTGTACTTTTCTATTTGGTTGCTACTCCTTAACAAATAATTCAGTGATTACATTTTCTTAACAAAGATGATTATTGACAGAATGTTTTTAAAATTTTAGTATCCGATATAAACAATACATTTAGATACTCTTTCCTCGAATTTTATCTCTAGTTTTGTAGAATTTTTACCATGCAATATTTTGTAGGATTGTGTACATATATCGAATAAATAATGAAATATTTTTTAAGAAAATCAAGGTAAGACTAGTCTAGTGATCCAGAAATGGCGGGTAAATAGGATCAATCGCAATGCATATATGCTTGTGTCCGAAGCATGATGTCATCATTTGTTGGTTCCCCTGTCTCGTTCTATCGAAAAACACGTTTTGACAGAAGGGATTCAAAGTGACAATCAAGCAATCAGTTTCAAGATTTAATCATCTTCTTACCCACTCTCTCACCCTGGCTTTCATCACTTTCTACGGGAACAAGAATCGTCGGAAAAGAAAAATCCGGACGATGGAGGCTGTGGTGGAGAGAGAGGCGTGGAAGGCTCACGTGGCGATGATCGGTGTGCAATTGTTCAATGGAGGATATCATGTCATTACCAAAGTGGCTCTCAACGTTGGCGTAAACCAACTTGTCTTCTGCGTTTTTCGTGATCTCATCGCTCTCTCCATTCTTGCTCCTCTTGCTTATTTCCGTGATAAGAGGACAAGACCTCCTTTGAATCGACAGTTTCTCTTAGCTTTCTTTCTCCTCGGTTTAACAGGGTAATTCAAGTTTTCTTCTTCCCCTTTCTGTTATCTTCATGATTGCAATCATCAAAATGTTGTTTTGGTGTGATTAGGATATTTGGTAATCAGCTTTTGTTCCTCATTGGTCTCAATTACACCAATCCAACTTATGCTGCAGCCATTCAGCCGTCGATCCCGGTTTTTACTTTCATCTTGGCTCTCGTTATGGGGTAAAGACTCGATCCAGTCTTTCTCTTTACTTTCCCTCTTACTCTTCCAAACCTAGAAGAATCCATTTTTGTGTGTTGCTGCAGAACAGAGAGACTAAATTTATTCAAGCTAGAAGGTCAAGCTAAGGTAGGAGGTACACTGATTTGTGTTGCTGGAGCGGTACTTATGGTTTTGTTTCGTGGACCGGCTTTGTTTGGGGAAACAGAGGCTGAGTTCTTGGGTCATGGTGAAACAAGACACCCTGAAACATCTGGACACTTCATGTCTGGCTTTTTTAATGGACTTGGAAGATGGAATTTAGGAGTTTTGTGTTTGATTGGGAATTGCACTTGCATGGCTGCTTTTCTTGCTATTCAGGCATGTCATTTTGCTTCAAGATGATCCACACACTTTCAGTTTCAGATATCTTCTTGTCTTTGGACTGACCTGGCATTTGAAACTTATATGATCAGGCTCCGGTCTTAAAGAAGTATCCGGCGAATCTTTCAGTCACAGCATACTCGTATTTCTTTGGGACAATGTTTATGGTGACATCTGCTTTTTTCATGACCAATGAGTCGACGAACTGGAGTCTCACAAGATCCGAGTTCTTTGCAGTTGTCTACGCAGTAAGTTCCTCACACCATATGTTTGTTGTATATAGTCTTTGAGCCATTAAATTTATCCAATTGAGTAACTCTGCTGTATCCGCGGTACAGGGAGTAATCGCGTCTGCCCTCAACTATGGTCTCTTGACATGGTCAAATAAGATCTTAGGTCCTTCCTTGGTTGCTCTCTATAATCCTCTTCAACCTGCAGCCTCAGCGTTCTTGTCCAGAATCTTCCTTGGAAGCCCTATCTACTTGGGGAGGTTTAAAACTCTCTCTCCTTTTCTCTTAGCTATTCTTAGATACAGATGGGATGTGTCTGAAGTTTCCTAACTAACTCGGTTTTTCTTTTCCTCCTCTCTTAGCATTTTAGGCGGATGTGCAATCATCGCAGGTCTTTACAGTGTCACCTGGGCATCTTACAAAGAAAAGAAAGCAGCAGCAGCAACGGGTGTTATCCCAATCACCTCAAAGGAAGCTGAACCCTTGATCTACAAGGACCATAAGAACAAACCAATAGGACATCTATTCACAAAATCTCCCATCTCTTCACCAAAATCTGCTGATTAAACAAAAAGTCTGGCTTCTTGAAATTACTTGGGTGCTCCAATGTTTTCTTGACCTTTTGCCGACAAGATAGTGGCTTATTTTTTTGAACAGTATATATATATGCATATACACATCAATGTTTAACAGAGTCTCAGTATCAGGCTCATCTAATTCTAGAACGTGTCTTCGACTTCGATGCACCTGCTTACATGTGATAGAAAAACTTAATGTCATGCGAAACCCACTCTGCATATAACTCGAAACCATAGCCTCCAGCAGTTAAACTTATGTGACCCTCCATAGCTCTGAACACCTTCTCTGCATTTATCACTAACCTATACTTCCCGTACATATCAACCAACCCACTTTGTATCAAACCATTTGATTTAAACCTGAGCTTTATGGCATTCACATACACTCGCTGCCAAAATCTAGCCCCATCACCGACAAAATCTTTTCCAATAAACCCCAATTTGTGGCATAGGGAGTGAACTTGCTTCCCTGATGTTAAATCTGCACTCATGGCGCATGCTTTTAGAACACATCACATTACGGTGTTCAACATAGCCACAAAGAAAGAAGTAGCGTTTTGGTAACCATCCATATCAATACAGCTGATAATAACAATTGCCGAGGAATGAAACTCTCTGTACAGCATTTATCCAATATGTTGCCGGCGATGTCCAGGTGATACACAAGTCAAAAAGACGGTTGAGAAACAGTAAGGTCGTTCTTACACTAGATTTCATAATGTGGACTTGCAGCTCATAAGCCCCAACAGCAATCGCATGTGTCAGTTGATTCCTGGGCCAGAGAAGTGTATAGATCTTCGGTTCCAGGTGAAGAAAGACAATCCATTAACCCAAGAATGTCGGGAGTCAAGCAACATGTACTTCGATTCTCTGGATATGACGTTGGATAATGGTGGATTCTGGGTTTTTGGGGAATGGGATCTGCTTGAAGCTTCGCGGTTTCAAAGTTCTGTTTGGGACTCCTGAGAAGAAGTTGACCATGGAGCCAGTTCCAGAGTTTTTATCTGATTTCCGCTGCACATTTTTAACTAAAGAACATATCGAATACACATCCACAAGAGGTTTTATATAGACGATGGCTTCAGAGACACCATTAATTCAGGGAACAATCTGAGACAAAAATGAAGTCATCAACAAATTCAGAGGATTTTAGAGCTTTTCTATCATTTATGGTTCTTTATAATTTCTGGGAGACAAAACTCAAGAAATAGTGGAGAGAGCACCATTGGACATGACAAGTAATAAAATCAACAGCATACAGACAATTCTCCTTAGTCCTAAGATTACATAATGTAAAGTTAAGATCTTCTCCGAGCTTTCTATTATGACTGATAAAACTCGAACTCAGCAAGCAAAATGTTGTTGCATCTCTTCATACCTCTGCATCACTGGATTCTGAATCTTTGTCTTCTCTCCAAGACAGAACTGGATTGAGTGAAGATGACTTGTATGATAAAGATTGCAAGAAGTTAAAATAAGCATACTTGATGTCGAACTGCATGTCATACCCTGTAAATTAGATGCGGACGTAACTTATTATATCAGGAGAATTGAAAAAATACAGGTTTGCCACCTGAAGACAAACCGAAGAAGGACGCAAAACGAGAAATCTTACAATAGTTCACCGCAATGGTATAGCCACCATCTCCTGGGGTTTGACTAACATGGTGAAACCACATGCTTGGCCTGCAATACGCAGATCGATTATGTGTCAGAATCATGACTGGAAAATCCGATTGTGCAGGTCTATCGCCCATTTCTAGTCTTTGTTTCTTATAAAGCAAAAGTAAGACTGAAGTAGGCACACAAGTGATTAAACTTAAGTAGATCTAACTGAGCAGAAAGTTTCTGAGAATTCTCAATCTGTGGAGCAATGGGATTTAGATTCTTACAGGTAAAGAACCTCGCCAGCCTTGACGGTACAATGAAACGGCTTCGGGCCATTGAAGAACAACGGATACTTCAATCTCTCGTTTGCTTCTTTCTCTGGCGAAGGGTATGGATCAACACTAGACCAAGGTACATGCCTCACTGGCTCCTCAAGCTCAAGCTTGAACACTTCAGTATCCTACAAAGATTCAAACTTTAACTCATTTAACACCACTCAACACAAACCAAACAAACTCATTGAAACTTAATCTGAGAATCTCACAGACTCGGTGGTAAGAGTAATTAGCTGCCGGATATTGTTCGATATAGAGGCGGTGAACATCAGTCGGAGGAAGAAGAAGAAAATGTTTCTCCCCTGAAACAACAGCGTATAGATTCTCATAGTGGTCTTTATGAAATGAAGTCACGGAGTCATCAGTACCAATCCAAAGGTTCACAGCTTCCGGCGAACAACCAAACGCCTCCGTAGCCCACTCAATATCACCGTCACAGTCTAACGCAACCGTCGAATACTCCGTTCTAAAACAATCATTCTGCTGTTGTAAATACCCAACCTTTAGTCCTTTACACGACGATTGAACAGCCTTAAGAGCCTCCGGGAACAGAACTTTCTCAACATGTGCCGAAGCGAAACAAAGATCTCTATCTCCGGTGACGGCGTCTGCGCAGCCGTTAGGAGTGAGATGTAATGAAACAACGTCGTTTGACAAAGCTCCGGCGAGGTAGGCTGGATCTGACCAGAGATTTAGAGCTGGCCAATGAGAAATAGCGTTGGAGATTACACAAGGCTTGCTCTGAGACACGTAGTCTCGGAGAAACTTCACCGGAGACGGTGGAGAATCAAGATGATCGATTTTAGTTCCTAAACTCAATTCTCTTACTTCTCTCCATAAATTTTGTATCTCTTTAGCCATTGACGATAAAAAAAATTGGCGGGATAAAAAATTTGGGGGTTTTTAATACATAACCAAGAACCCTAATTTATATTTAAAAAAAAAAAAAAAAAAACTGTTTTTGTTATAAAAAATAGGTTTTTTGAAATATTTTTAAAGTTCTCGAAGAGGAAGAAGAAGAAGATGAGTTGTTCTTATCTGATTTCTGGTGACGCTTCCGTCGTTACTTCGCGGCGGTGGAGTGATGTTTCTTCCCAGCAGCGTTTATTTCTCCCACGGCAATTACTCCGGCAACCACCGGTTTCTTCGTTTTCCAGATTTGTCCGATTAGTCGCTAATGTGAATAATAATTTTAGTAAACAATCGCTCGGAACGAGGAATTGCTTTGCTTCACTGGGAGTTGATGACTTCGGCGGAAGTAACGGCAATAATGATAACGGAAATGGCGGCGGTGGCGGAGGAGACGGCGGTTGGTGGTTTAACGGCGGCGATAACTCTGATGACTCTTCTTTAAGTTTGAAATATCTCTGCTTTCTTGTATTAGGATTGTCTTGCTTCTTCCATTTCCGATTATCAGCTGCTTCCGCCATAGCTAAAGCTTTAGATTCGGATAGTAACGGAGATACTGAGAAAGAGACGGTTTGGGAAGTGAGAGGAAGTAAAAGGAAGAGACTAGTTCCAGATTTCGTCAAAGATGAGTTCGTCTCTGAAGAATCTGCTTTCGAATTATCATCTTCTCTAACTCCTGAGAATCTCCTAGCTCAATGTAGAAACCTTCTCACTCAATTCCTTCTTCCTGAAGGTTTCCCCAATAGTGTCACTTCCGATTACCTCGATTACTCTCTCTGGAGAGGTGTTCAAGGAATTGCTAGTCAAATCAGCGGCGTTCTTGCCACTCAGGTAGACGACTGAGTTTATCATCTCTCTTAGGCATTCTCACAAACACTTGTTGCTCATTTATTTTCCTTGGGGTTGTTTTGGTAGTCTTTGCTTTATGCAGTTGGGTTAGGTAAAGGAGCGATTCCTACAGCTGCAGCTATTAATTGGGTGCTTAAAGATGGAATTGGGTATCTTAGTAAGATAATGTTGTCGAAATACGGACGACATTTCGATGTTCATCCAAAAGGATGGAGGCTATTTGCTGATCTTCTTGAAAACGCTGCTTTTGGTATGGAGATGCTTACGCCGGTCTTCCCTCAGTTTTTCGTTATGATCGGTGCTGCTGCTGGTGCTGGTCGATCTGCTGCTGCATTGATTCAGGTTCCCTCAGTCTCTAAAAGCTCTATTTGCATAGCTTTAAGTGCAGCATTCTCTATTGAACTTATTATCATTTACTTGTCTGCAGGCTGCTACTAGAAGTTGCTTCAATGCTGGCTTTGCTTCTCAAAGGAACTTTGCTGAGGTCTACTACAATTTTTATATGGCCTTCTCAACTATTATGGGTGTGTAAGTGTATGCATCAACAGCTTCTTTTGTAGGTAATTGCCAAAGGTGAAGCTCAAGGAATGGTGAGCAAGTCAATGGGTATCCTGCTAGGAATAGTGGTTGCCAATTGCATAGGCACCTCGACAAGCCTTGCCCTTGCTGCATTTGGAGTTGTGACAACAATCCATATGTATACCAATCTCAAATCTTACCAATGTATCCAACTCCGGACTCTAAACCCATACCGTGCAAGTAAATCCCACTCCTGCAGACGTCCAATTCATTCAAATCGTCTTACAAAACGAAAAAAAAAAAAAACATCTCTCTGTTTGCTTTACAGGTTTGGTTTTTAGTGAATATCTCATCAGTGGCCAAGCTCCTCTAATCAAGGAGGTCAACGATGAAGAACCGCTCTTCCCAACAGTTCGGTTTTTGAACATGAAATCTCCAGAAAAGGTAAAAATGTTCATTCACCTTATTATACACTCTGAGATCTCTTATCAACTAGTTTAAAATCTAAAAACTTTCTCGGATGAATAAAACAATACTTGATGACCTGATTGATTGATTCTTAGTATCTGCTCTATTCAGCTGCAAGAATTTGTCTTATCATCAGAAGCAAAAGCAGCAGCCGCAGACATAGAGGAACGGCTTCAACTAGGGTCAAAGCTCAGCGAAGTTATCCACAACAAGGAAGAAGCAATAGCATTGTTTGATCTGTATCGCAATGAAGGCTACATCCTTACAGAACACAGAGGGAGATTCTGCGTAAGCAATAATATACCTTTTCATCATTATTATCAACCGGAATCTCTCACCATTCTATCTCCTCTTGTAATTGTCAGGTGATGCTCAAGGAAAGCTCAACTCCACAAGACATGCTCAGGTCGTTGTTTCAAGTGAACTACCTCTACTGGCTAGAGAAGAATGCTGGGATCGAACCTGCAAGCACTTACACAGACTGCAAACCGGGCGGTCGGCTTCACATTTCTTTAGATTATGTGCGACGAGAGTTTGAACACGCCAAAGAAGACAGCGAGTCAGTGGGTTGGGTTACTGAAGGACTGATAGCTAGACCTCTACCTACCAGAATCCGTCTAGGTCATGATCGTGAACTATTATCTTCTCCTTCCAGCTCATAAACTCAGAGCAAAACCAGGGCCAATGGTGATATATTAGATCCCATTTTACTTTTCGGTATAGATTAGATACATTGTTCTCTGTTCATCTGCCATTGGAATGTTGTAAGCTTTTTAGAGATTTACATGTCTCTCAAGTCAGAAAATTCGTTAGTTCAGATCTTATTCGATAATCAGATGCATAAAAGTTACATATAAATTCATTGCGACCTACAAACATGCCTGACATTTTTCACATTTGACCCCACAACATTTGGAATGATTAATAATATAACACAAGTTGCTTATTTATCAGATCAAACCTAGACTTCTACACTGATCTTTAGCAGGTTAACCACAGTAACAGATACACATACACAAGACAAAAGAAACAAAAAAAAATGGCGAATTAGCCGTAAGAGATAGAGAGATTTCTGATTCTACTGAACAAAAGGGTATCGAGCAACGTAGAATTCTCTTACACGCGAAGCCCCATCTCTAGCAAGTATACCTTCAAGATCTCCAATAATCCTAGCCAGCCAAATCTCCAAGTTTCTCTGAACTTCTTTCAAGTTATTCTTGATCAAATCCAATGACCTCCCTGTGTTCATCTTGGCTTGGCTTAATTGATCTCCTTGATTACTCCTCGTGATTTCCGTCTGCAATGAAACTAGCTTCTGCCCTGTCTCTGATGCCCGCTGCTGAAGCCTGAAACACTCGAGCAGAAACTCGGTTTGTCTTTGCGTCCTGAACTCAGGTCCTAATGTAGCATCACACGGATCACTACTCTGCTGAAAACATAAATATCATAAAAGGTTAAGTAGTAAGTCAAGAATGTATTTATTGTAAGCAAATCACACATAAATTTTAGAGACTAACCATTCTTCTACATAGATCATCGATCTTCCCCGAAAGAGCTTGATACCTCTTAGCCTGTTTCCTCAACAAAGACGGAACTTTCGATATGTCACTACGACAAACTTTCTCAAGATTCAGTAATTCCTCTTCAAGCAACCTCAGTTTCGCAGATACACCCGTCCCTTCACTATCAATCTTCCATGGTGATTCCCTTCTGTGTAATGAAACATAAGGTTACAATTACATCACTCATCAATCATCATCATCACACAATCTCAATTCAAAATTTCTCCATTACCTTGGCACAAAATGCTTCATACGATACACAGATTCCAAAGATTCATATTGTAAATCCTACACAAACAGAACCAAAACCCTAAAAACCAAAACACAAATTTCTTCACTCTCATAATCAAGAAACTCGAAATCAAAACCTGGAAAGGATTAAAATTGGAACTTGGGTTAATCCCATAAGCATTAGGTGATGATGATACAGTGAGGTGATCCACACCATAACGTTCACTAGACTCATCTCCATCTCCTACTTCATCTTCTTCTTCTTCCTCAATCTCTCTTCGAGACATAAACCCAATCATTTCATCTCTCTCACTAACTTCTCTCTCGAGCTCATTGATTCTATTCATGAAATCTTCTCTTTCTTCTTCCATTTCATGAATCCGATTCAACAATCGTTTCTCTTCTTCTTGCCAAGCGTTTCTATGACTAGCGAAGATCTCGACCACACGCGCGTTAGCTTTTGAATCTTCCACGCGCCGAGATTTCATCTGACGGACTTGTTCCTCTGCCGTCGCGAGACGTCGTTTTAGCTCGGTGACTTCAGATGTTAATCGAGGAACGAGAGAGATTGCGTCGTTTGGGAGATGAGCTAACATTACTGAGAAGCTTAAACCTAGAAATGATTTTGCTAGTTTCTTCAATTCATCATACTCTTCTTCTTCCTCAACGAAGCTTCTCAGTCTCAATCTCTCTTCTTCTTCAGGTTCAGGAACAGTCGCCATTTTTGTGAGCTCAGAAATTCGCAGAAAAAAAGATACTAAGAAAAGACAAATTTTTAATTTTAATATTCTTTTTTTCAATCTATCAGCATAAATTTTTGGCGTAAAAAAAAAACATTTTTCTGGCGTATTAGTGAATATAAAATATTTTAAAATTTGATATAAATCACATCAAAAAGTTTATATTGACAGCTGTCAAAAAAAAAAAAAAAAAAGTTTATATTGACAAATACAATGCTACCCTTGTTCTAAAATTTTCCGCCTACTCCGATTACTCTCCGTTTAATCGTTTCGCCTACTCTATCCGCCTCGATTAATGACTAATCTCCTAAAAAAATTAGTTACTCGATTAATTTCCGCCTAATCTGATTACTTCCTGCCTAATCCGATTACTCCCTACCTAATCTTACATATTCCGATTATTTTTAGATTGCAAGTATAAAAAAAACTTTTTATTTTTGTTATTCAATCATTTGAATTGAGAGTTTGTGATGTTTTACAATATCTTATGTTCAAATTTTAATATAAATCATAAATTTTTAATAAAAATCATAAAAATTTGTCTCAAAAATACATTTTTATATATTTACTGCAATTTTGAAAATAATATTAGATTAATATGTTTTAAAAATATTAAAATAACCCTAAAACTAGTCCCCGATAAATTTTCGATTTTAATCCGATTTTTCGATTAATCGCTAGGTTCATACCGAGCGCCCGACTAGCGCCTAGCGATTTTTCAAACAAGGATGCTACCTAACAAACTCATTATAAATTATGTATTAAAATTAAGAATTTAAAAACAAATTTTACGAAAGAGTAATGTAAATTATTATTGTAACCTAACTAGCAGTTGACAAAAAAAAAAAGATTAAGAACTAGTACCACATGAAGCTACAGAAAATTCTTTAATTGTCTGACTTTTGATGATAAAAGATTTGATTACCAACTTTACCTTCTTTGCAGGTCTTACTTCTTCCTCTGATGCACTGCTCTCTGCTTCGTCAGATTCCTATAATGTTTTATCAAAACAAAAATTGAAAATCAAACATATGAACAATAAGGTAATTCAATAAGCAAACAAGTCACATTGTATAACGCAATTCTTACTTGAGTCAGTTCTGTCATACCATCAAACCATAGTGCATGTTTTGTACATAAGTTCTTGAGATCTTTGGGAACCTTTTTGGTGTGAAATAAGATTATCTCAAACCCGAGACTCTTGATATGTGAGACGTCGGTGCGAAGACGAGAATCTGACGCTCCAATGCCTATGAGTGCATAATCCCTAATTCATAATCGGGAAAACCTTTGCGGTTTGCATTGGATCTCTTCTTGGTCTTCGTAGGTGGTTGTGAGATATGAACCTCAACACCGGATCTTCGAAGCATATCGATAGCTCCTCCATCAAGAGCCTTGGATTGGACGAAGAGATCGAAAGTATAAACTTTGAGATAGCCTAAGGCTTTGAGAGCTGTGTCGATGTAACCGTAGATATGTTGTGGACGAAGATGATCAATGGGACAAGTAAGATCCGAGAAAACCTAATAAATTAGAGAAAGTATCATATTGATAAATTAGAGAAAGTCAAGACCTAAAATAGAAATATGGACAAAAATTAAAAATTGATTAATTATCGGGACAAGGAGATTGGCACGCCTAGAAATAGGTAGAGAAACTATTCGACGAGGAGGACTTGGCGATGGCTGCAGCATAGAGATCCGATGTGTGTTTCGATCAAGAAGTAAACCTCAAGCAAGATTCTCCCATGACAAAAAAATTGGCAGACTGCGGAATTCTTCAGGGGCCGAATTATTTCCCACAACCCAAATCACAAACCCATATTGTCTGCGAGTTAGGTTTTGGACCATTTTAAAAAAGTCTCAATCGGTTAGGAGCAGAATAGCAGCAGGAGGGTCACGCGCCTCGATCCATTATAAAAATAAAACAAAATAGTTTTAAGTTAGATATAAATCACATCAAGAAGTTTTTATATCTGATATTGACAGCTATGATACAATGCTACCTAACAAACTCATTATAAATTATGTATTAAAATTAATAATTTAAAATTAAAATTTTCTAATGAGTAATGTAAATTATTATTGTAACTTAGATTTAGAACTAGTAGTTGACAAAAAAAGATTAAGAACTAATAGCACATGAAGCTAAGAAAATTCTTTAATTTTCTGACTTTTGATGATAAAAGATCTGATTACCAAAAAATATTTGTTGGAATATATATTTCCTTAGTCCCGAACTTGAGCCCGAACCACCAGACCCTAACCCTAAACCATAACTAGAACATTGACCGGGACCATAACCACCATTTCTTAGAAACCGATCAGAACAAACCTCCTCATCAAAATCTGAATCTTTCTCTGAAGATGATGATTCTATTGAGTATGCTTTAGCTTTAGAATTCTTTGGCTTCTTGGCAGATCTGACTTCTTCCTTTGATGCACTGCTCTCTGCTTCGTTAGATTCCTAAAATGTTTTATCAAAACAAAAATTGAAAATTAAACATATGACATTCCTTCACTTCTTAGAGCTGAGTGTTAAAAGTCCAAAACCAGAGTCGGTCTATTGTAAAAGCCACAAAGCGACTGTTTACGACATCATTGAAAATATGGAATTCGTTTTCGGAATATTGGTTAGACTATGTGTACATTTCGTCTATATCATATAGTGTTATTTATTTTTTAAGTTAATGTTTTGCTACTGTGTTTGTTTTTTCATATATTTAAAGATTTTAAACCATGTATTATTTTGTAAAGTCACGTGGATCCACTACTTTTCGTAGATATATGAAATAATTAAAATAAAAAACTTACAAATATTAGTTTTGTAATCTTAAAATAAACTATATATATTAATGGTGTTAAAAATAATAAAATGAGTATTTAACCTGTATTGCAGCGGGCTAATGATATTTTAAATTTATATTAATATTGATTCAAATCCATTATGCATATAACCCCGTCCCGCAATATAACCCATCTCGGTTATTTTATTAATTTTAAATATATCAATTATAATATTTAAAACTTTTTAAAAGTTTGAAATTTAACATTTCCATTAAATTAAACAGTTTAACTACAAAACTGAATTAAAACGTATACAAACTTTTAAATTTGGATGCTTGTTAGGTTAAGCTTCTTGCTCATTCAGATTTCGATTCATTTTGATCTTATTTATAATATGACTTATAATCATTTTCTAAACATTTTAGCCGATATGTGACGTTGAATACACATATTTTTTATTAATTAGGTAATACTTGTCCGTTTTTTAAATTCGAATCACAATATATGTAGAAAAAAATTTAATATTTTTTTTTTAACTTTATGTATCGTACGTATGATTATACAAAACAGTTAAAAACAAATCAAACAAAAATGATAGGAGAATCATAATTTTAAATCTTAACCAAATTTTCAAATATCTATATTATTAAATATGGAATATCCGTTTATATTTTTGGATATGTTTTGATCCGATCCAAGTTAAATATAGAATATTCGAGCCGGTATCAAATTTTTCGAATCACAATTTAACCCACTCGCTGACATACTATATATATATATATATACTGAGTAGTTGTTTTCTGAATTAATGAGCATGGACCATGTAGATAAAGAGAGGCTTCATCTCTTGAATGCAACAAGAAGATCAAGAAATCATATCACGGACCCGACCAATCTCCACCTCCCAAAAGCACATGATTGCATCTGTCCCCAAACAATTATATCTCATTTGCATTTAGATTTTTAGACGTGATTAGGTTTAAGTTGCGGCTGCAATGGTTTCTTCCTATGAATTTATTTGTTAACATATAAAAATGGATGATTAAAAGCTAAATTCGAGTTCCCAAATCTTTCATTTTTTGCTGACAAACAAATTACAAGAATATAGAAGATGAAGAAACATTTGCAACACATTCTATATCCAAACTATACAACAAGATTGATGTAGAGAACAACTTGTTCACAACAAGCTTTGATCATTTTTGTTTAGAGGCACAATAAGCGTTGACCTACAAAAAAAAATACATAGCACGCATTAATACGACAGCGTTTCGCTTACGCTAAACGGCGTCGTGTCACAAAATGCGGAAGAGGGAAATGAAAAACTCCTCCCGCTATAATTTGACAAACATTTTGGAAAAATTCATATGTCACGCGGATCGACTCTATGAACCGTTGATTATATCTTAATCAACGGTCAATACACATTCTTAGTATTCACCGAGATTGAGATCACTTTACTTTTATGACTATATAAACCCACTACTCTCCTTTGTCATTCACATCTCAACAAATATTCATTCTCAGAGCATTTCAAATCCAAATTTTCCCGAGAGAAAATCAAAGTTTCCTGAGAAAATGTCAGGTCGTGGAAAGGGAGGCAAAGGATTGGGCAAAGGAGGAGCCAAACGTCACAGGAAGGTTCTAAGAGACAACATCCAAGGAATCACTAAGCCGGCGATTCGGAGATTGGCTCGTAGAGGTGGTGTCAAGCGTATTAGTGGTCTGATCTATGAGGAGACACGTGGCGTTCTCAAGATCTTTTTGGAGAATGTTATTCGTGACGCTGTTACTTACACTGAGCACGCTCGGAGGAAGACGGTGACTGCTATGGATGTTGTTTATGCTCTTAAGAGACAAGGAAGAACTCTCTATGGATTCGGCGGCTAGGGTTTTTAATTGTTGTTTGTCTACGTTTCAGAATTTGGTCTTAACACCGAAAAAATTAAAAACATGAAGGATGTTGTTGCAATTTCGTCATTGTAGTCTTAATTGTGATTCGCTTTCAGTAATTTTACAGTTTCTCTATGCTTGTTTGTTTCCTTTGAACACGACGCAATATCCAAATTGAATCGGTTTAAATCGGGTTTAAATCGGGTTAGTTGATATATGTATCAAAATCGATAATAACCGGATCGGTTTAAATCGGGTTAGTTGATATACGTATCAAAATCTCGTTTGACGCGAACATTTGCTATATACATGAAGAACGTAAATCAATTTATTTTTGGTTTAGAAATACTAACCGGATCGGTTTAATCGAATTACTGATGAAAATCTGTCTTTCGAACCGAACTGTACCGACACATGTTTATATTGGATGCGACGAACCGGATTTGCTATAAATTAAATTTAAACCGAATTATTTTGGGTTTAAAAGTAAATTTCAAAAATTGTCAAATCATATAACCTCTCCGATGTTCTAGAGAGAAAGAGAAGAGTCGAGGAGAAGAAGCATCAGCTCTTGACGTGAATCTGATCGGAAAATATTCGTGATCCTCGAGAAATGGGAGCTCCGGGAAGTGAAGACACCGTAGTGATAGAAATGGGGAAGAAGATGGGAGATACTCATGTAATCACCGTGAATTGTCCAGATAGAACTGGTTTAGGTTGCGATATCTGCAGAATCATCCTCGATTTCGGTCTCTACATCACAAAAGGAGGTAAGATTCTTCAATAATCCTGATCTTGTTCTCTGTAATTTGAGTAGAATTTGCTTTAGATACCTTGAATTTGGGAAATCGATTTAAGGTTTGTTCATGTTTGGAGTGTAGATGTGACAACAGATGGAGTATGGTGTTACATAGTATTGTGGGTGGTTCCTCATTATGATTCACTTAGATTAAGATGGTCACATTTGAAGAATCAGCTTGTATCTGTATGTCCTTCTTGTTCAACCTACTTTGTGCTCAATTTGATGTCGCCTTGTCCCGCATCAACGCCTGTTTACTTGTTGAAGTTCTTTTGCTTAGACCGGAACGGACTCTTACACGGTACTACTGTGTTTATCGTCTTATGTGTTGAGTTTTCGTATGAGTCTGTGTATCTTGAGTGTGTGAGAATCTTGTTTGCAGATGTTACTCAAGTACTAACTGAGCTTGAGCTCTCTATTCAAACTGTGAAGGTGACTACGACGCCTGATGGGAGAGTTCTGGATCTTTTCTTTATAACAGATAAAATGTGAGTGCGTTAGTAAATCTGCTTCTTAAGAGTTTCTGTTAAGTATTCGAATGGTGATTAGTAGTAGTGTTTATGATTGTCTGTTAGGGATCTTTTACACACAGAAAAGCGCCAAGAGGAGACACGTGGGAAGTTTCGTTCTGTCTTGGGAGAATCATGTATAAGCTGTGAACTTCAGTTGGCTGGTCCTGAGTATGAATGTCATCAGAATGTTCCATCTCTTTCTCCAGCAGTGGCTGAGGAATTGTTTACGTCTGAGCAGTTCACCGATGAAGACAATCGTGCACAGGTTCTTAGTGACGATATGACAAAGCTGAAGAATGTCAGTGTTACATTTGACAACTCCTTAAGCCCGGCTAACACTTTACTCCAGATACAATGCGTTGATCACAGAGGCCTTCTCTATGATGTATTAAGAACCTTAAAAGACTTCGACATTCAGGTAATGGCAAAACGATCATATTTAGAGATTACACTGCTTTTCTTTGTGTGTTATCTCAGTTTGGTGATTTGTTTCTGCAGATATCTTATGGCAGATTCTCACCTCAAACACAAGGTCATCGGGATCTAGACCTCTTTATTCAGCTAAAAAATGGGAACAAGATTGTGGATCCTGATAAACAAAATTCGCTATGTTCACGCCTGAAAGCTGAAATGCTTCACCCTTTACGTGTCATAATAACAAACCGAGGGCCAGACACAGAACTTATGGTTGCTAATCCAGTTGAGCTATCTGGAAAAGGCAGGCCAAGAGTGTTCTATGACGTTACCCTTTCACTAAAAGTGCTTGGAATCTGTATTTTCTCGGTAAGAAACAAATCTATTAACAGAAATCTTGGAATCAGTGACTCTGACTGTGAACTTTGTTGTCTGTTTTAACAGGCTGAAATAAGAAGGTACACGGCTAGTGACCGAGAATGGGAAGTGTATAGATTTCTTCTGGATGAGAACTGTTTGTTTCAGCTCGGTAGTGCTTGTGCTAGGAATGAGATTGTTAATAAAGTGAGAAGAACATTGATGGGTTGGTAAATTAAAGAAATGTACAGAGAGGTAATTATGTACTGCTATGTAATATGGTATGCCTTTGGTTATGTCCTATTGCTTATAGGTTCATGTAAATGCTTTTACCCGTTTGGCTGTTGGTAAATCCTCTAACAATCATGGAATCCCACACATATCGAATAATTTCTTCGGAACAGGATAGTGAGAAATTGAGGACATTGTAGCGTTAGCTAAATTTCGAATCTCAAATAATTACAAAGTAGTTTTGGCAATAAGGGCACAAATTAATGACAACTAGGTATAGTTTCTCATAGACGATAGTTGAAGGATAATGACAACTAGGTATAGTTTTGGCAAGATAATCAACTTCTTTGTTTCCTCTCGGTCAGATTTATTGTCGAGACTTTTGTGGTTGTTTCGGGATTCAAAGTCACTTAATGTTATCTTAAACTAAATATTTCTATAAGTAACATAATTAATTTATATTTTTATAATTTTGGTCTATTTATATTTGTGATGTGGATTTATCACAAAGGTTTCGTGGTGTAGTTGGTTATCACGTCAGTCTAACACACTGAAGGTCTCCGGTTCGAACCCGGGCGAAGCCACTATCTTTATTTTTATTGTTTTTTGGCCATTATCTTTTGTTTACAGTCTCTGTTCTTCTTTAAAATTAGTAGGATAAAGTGTACTTCAATCGTTAAAATCATCTATTTTATTGTTATATATCTTGATTCTAGTACATACGAATACGATTCATCATAATATATCCGCTCGTTATAATTTATAATTAAAATCACCTTAAAGTATTCTAACATAAGCGATTGTCTGATTGAAATGCTTTCAGATTTAGGGTTTATCAAAAAAAAAAAAATGCTTTCAGATAACTAACTGTAATTTTCTAACTGATTAAGGTGATTAGTATTGAAATTTTTTTTTTTTTTTTGATAAGAATTAGTATTGAAGTTACTTGTTAAGTTAGTTTAGACAATGTGTTTGATCTACTAATATATGTTATTGTATTGATCTCACGAGACAAGAGAGCTAGTCACGAATGTGTTAGGCTGTGATAACGTTTTCAACAAGAAACCTCATAATTTATTTTCCAAATCATATATTCTCTCTTTGGGTGACCAAACCCTTGTTTTGACTAACTCTCACATGTAAATTAATGAGCGCCATTAGTACTAGCCATTTTCCAAGATATGTTGAAGTCGTTACCCACTAGCATCTCAAGGCCCTTAAGCTCAACCATGAAGCTCTTACTCTCTCCTTTATTTTCCGGAACCACCACATACTTCTGCTCCTTGGAGCTTACCTCAATTCTCTTGGTCTCGTTGGAGATTGGACTTCCATTAAGGTGTATTTCAGAAACTTGCCCTGTTCCTTCAAGTCCCAAAACAATCACTCTCTCAATCACCAAACCTTGTCTCAACGCAAACTTACCTTTTTTCACGTGTGACCATATCTTCACACTCTCATTCCCAACCGATGCATAGAAGTCAATGTACGTTGACTGCCCATTTCCAAGTTTCATCTCGGGAAGCTCATCATCGTCAAGAAAGAGTTTCCCGGTGGCGTATCCCTCTGATGCTCCCGCCGGGAAAGCGACGACTAGACTAAACGGCGTCGTTCTTGCTTCTTTGGAAATCAACCCACCTTGTTGCATTGGTAATATCGTGTTCTGGTAAAGATGCACATTCACAACGTTCAACGGAGCTGGGAGAGTCACGCGCTTCCCGTTCTTAGAAACAACGACCTGAGTCATGTCAAAAATGTGGTACCAAGAACCTGGTGGGAACAGTGCTTCAACTTGGGTTTTACCTTGTTCAAGAACTGGTGATATCATTAAGCTACTTCCGAGAAAGAACTGTCTGCTCAAACCGTAGCATTCGGTGTAATCAGGGAAAGAGAAAAAGAGCGGTCTAGCGATTGGAGCACCCGTCACATGTGCTTCGTAGTTGAGAGTGTAGAGAAAAGGAAGGAGTTTGTATCTCATCCCAAGAGCGTTACGAGCTGACTCTGCTACTGTTCCCCATTGGTAAAGCTCTTTTCTTGGAGCGTAGTAATCGGCGTGATCTCTTGAAAAGGGGTAAAACGCACCGACTTCAATCCAACGATTGCAGAGTTCTTCTGGTGTTGGAGGAAAGAATCCACATATGTCTGAACCAACCATGGGAACTCCGAAAATTCCGAAATTCAACATCGTCGAGATAGATATTTGCAAGCTTTGCCATGTTCCCTGGTTATCTCCAGTCCAGTGAGCAGCATATTGACCTGAACCAACAAAAGTAGACCGGGACAATATGAATGGACGTTTGCCTTGGATACCAAGTAAGGCCTTATGGGTCGCGATGGCCTCAGAGAACCCATAGATGCTGTGAGCGTCGTATTCTTGAACACCATCGAAGTGATAAGCACTTGTGGGAATAGTCTTGTACCCAAGAGGAGCTTTGTTTCCAGTAGCATTGATCTTGTAAGGTGGATCATCCCATCTTGTATTGGTTATATTCTTGCAGTCCAAGCAACACGTTACACCAGGTTCTCCCCCACTCGGACACTGTTTTCCCTCCGGGATTTTGCACAATCCAGAGCAAAAATTGGAGACCTCATTCATGTCGATCCAAAGACCATCAATGGGGACTAATTCATGAAAACGTCGGATTTCATCACCCCACCAAGAAACCGTTTTCGGGTTGAGGAAATCAGGGAAGTAAACCGGACCAGGCCACACTTGAGCCAAGAAAGGCTTTCCTTCATATTTAATGAACACATCATTAGCCATGCCTCTTTGGTATACACCGTAGCTCGCGTTGACACCAATACCAGGATCATTAATCACAACATACTTCATTCCCATCTTGTGGATTCTATCCAAGAAAGCCAATAGCTTAGCATGAGGAAAGTTCACAAGATCCAAAGTGAAGTCCTTGTAACCATCCATGTAATCAGCATCGTTCCAAATCACATCAAGAGGGATCTTAGCCTTTTGGTAATTATCCACCACATCTTCAACAACTGATACATTACGGTATCCCCATCTACATTGATGAAACCCTAGAGTAAAAGTTAGGTTAAAGATTAGTAAGAAAGCACATAAATTACATAGAACCAAAATTGGGAATATTAGTACCTAGAGACCAGTACGGCATTGGCGCTGGCCGTCCAATTAACGAAGTGTATTTATCAACGACATTGAGAGGCGACGGTCCAGCAAAGAAATAGAAATCGAAAACACCTCCAATTACCTTGTACGTCAAGGAATCGCCTCTGTAAAACACATCCATACCATTACTGTTGAGAAGCAGAACAGAGTGTGCGTAGGGTTTACCTCTAACGTTTCTCAAATCCATATAAACCGGGTGCGACCCGTAAAGATCGGTGTTGAGTTTAAACGCTGAGACATCTTCAGTGAAGAGAGTGTAAGGCTCATCAGGGACAAGCTTGATTCCATTGGCTTGTGAGTTTTCACCAAATCCATATAACGACGCGTCTTTAGGTAACGAAGTTGAGATCTCAAGGTACTGGTCCTTGAACACCATCTCTCCGAAGTTCTCATCAGAGCTACTAGTGTTGAAAATCGTCTCGCCGTTAGATCTTCTTCTCACGGCAAAGCTGAAAGGATTTGTGGTGAAGCTCAATATCAACTCCGGTCCGGATATTTCCTGTACCGTAACCGGAGATTTTCTTGATTTTCCGATTACTTTCGGTGGCTGTTCTCGGCGGAGGAGATTGTACGGAACTTCCCATCGTTGTTTCTTTGCGTCTGTTATGTGAACACGAAGGCGATGATCCGTCTCGTGCCTACAAAAAAGATTCCAACGGTTAGATATGGATGGTTAATGTTGGCTGCAAAACAGAGAATATAAAACTCTTTACTTGATGAAGAGTCGAAGGATAGGTATATCAGAGCCGTAGATTTTGTTACTCTGCTTCACTTGGAGAAAGCCAAAGAAGCCACCATCATCGGGAGACTTCTCAATGGAGATCAGACGGTAGCCTTTACCGATTGCGTTGGAACACCGGAGAGATGAGAAGCAGAGGATAATAGCCACAAGAAGAGAAAGAGAAGAAGCCATTGTTCAGTTGGGTAGTGATACTTTCTACACTTAAAACACTATAGTCTGTACTAATAAGCAATGAAGGAGAAAGAGACATTTGCATTTATCACAAGATGTTAAACTTACCTAATTTAATGTTACATCATTTACTCAATTGAGTGGGCTTGTAAATGATTATACAAACTTGTTTCTATCTTTATTTAGTATGCTAATAACTCAAATTATGTATAGTCGATTAAAAACTAAAGTTGATTTTGCACAAATTAAAGTTACAGAACACTTGCAGAACACGGTTGAAGATTCAGATCTCGCAATGGTCGACATTGAATCCAGATTCTCTGATTTTACAAGACTCTCATCTTCCCACCAAAACCCTAAATTTTCATCGCAAGGACGCTGATTCTCGAGAAAAGCAGCAACAACACTATCGACAGAGGAGTGACCAAAACTGTAGAAAGAAGCATTGGAATTAGAAGAAACTGGAGTCGCTATGATCGCAATCTCTGCATCGGAGAGAAGACAAAGCTCAGAAGCTTTACTATAAAGACCCTTACGACGTTTTGAGAATGTAACCGCTCGTGAATCTTTCTTCTTTATCTTCTCTATAGCAATCTTCCTCTTCACGCCACCCATTATGTTTTTTTCTCAAATTCACAAACAGAGAACGAGACGAGACTAATATTTTTGTGTTTGCCTTGTTGTGCAAGAATATGATTATGGACTCACTCTATTTCTAATCAGATTATATATAGACTTTAGTTTGAAAGAATATTTCTTAGGAAATAGTACTCTAATTAAGCTTGTTACTAAAACAAGAGTCACATTAATTCTCATATAAACTCGATCAAAATAATGTTATTTAAAATGAAACGTAATAAGGTTTCTTCAATGTGACATGGTTAAAGTCTTAAACAGAAAAGAAACTAAACTTTTTTTCAGCCACTCTTTATAATCCTCCTCCCTACGCGATCATACTCAACTTGTCTTTCACTTTGTCCAAACAAAAGCTCCATCGGAATATCATCTTTTGCAGCTGCATTCCCATACTTTGCCATGATTGTGTTCTTTATCTGATTATTCAGTTCTTCCTTTGCAACCTTAACCCTCTTATAACACAACTCAGCTTGAGATGGAGCCGCTTGCATATGTATGTCCTGTCCTTTTTCAAATGCTTCACATGAATACATGTTTATCTGTTTGAACTCTAGAGCTTGGCCACTGTTTCTATATTGATTATCTCCCAAACAAAAGTTCTCATTTGGATCTGCATTTGGGAGCGGATCTTCACGCATGGATCGCGATTTAGGATCATAATAAGCTGAGTTAACATCAAGGTTCAACAAGTATTTTGCAGGATCTTCTCTTATACGCAGATTCCTTACAGTTCCTGTGCTTCCACCATCAGTTGTTCGTACACGTTTTTTAACCTTTGCAAAATCCACCTGCCTGCTCTCATCAACCCTAGCTTCATCAATCCTTAAATCGTCGTCTTCTTCTTCCTCTCCATCAATGTTTGCGTCATTATTGTTCTTCTCCTCTAGTTTCTTAAGTTGTTGCTCCTTCAAGTAATTCTCTCGTGCATTATCTTTTGCTTCATAAAGATCTCTCACATGACGATAAGACGAAGGATCGTAACCATTCCATCGGTCTCTCTTACCATCATAATCCAATTCAATACTCTCGATTTTCTCATCAGGTGCAATGTTCTTGTTTGTGTATTTTGCTCCAACCTTACGAGGTCTTTCTATACATGTTTTCATATCATGTGTCATAGCACCACAGTTTTGACACGCTCCTTTGCGATATTTTTCGGCTTGATAAATCTTTGCACCTCTGTCATAATATGCTTTTGTCGAAACGGGTTCAGTTTTCCAATTCTCTTGATGCTTTAAACTCGGTTTTTCAGAGTTGGTATACCATGGAGCTTTTGACAAAAAATCAGGTATGTTGGGGTTTATTTCGTTTCCATTCTCGTCTACCTCAGCCGGAGCAAGCCCGGCTTTACGAGCTTCCTCTAATTCTTTTTGCTTCCTACGATCTTTCCTAGACTTAAAAGCAACTGAAGCCGTTGCCATTGTTATATCAAGGTGCGAAGGATGAAGCTTGTTGGGATTTGTGGTAAGAAACTAAGAACCCTAAATCTTTCTAAGTAGAAGAAAGAAAAAATAAACTCTAGAGAAAATCTCTCATCATGAGCATACATATAAAAGCTAAATCTTAACATATTATTCTAGGAAACTCTCTTAAACCGTAAAAAGAAAAAAGAAAAAATATTAATGAAATTGCTAATTTAACTACAACATAATTGTAAAATTTCCTTTTTCTTATGGTCGACTGTTGCTTGCTCTTCAATTAATCCAAGTCACGCCCTTCTCACATGTCTTCTCAAATTCCTCTTTCCTTAGATTTTGTTTATAATAAATCCCTGGTTTGTCTAAAGGTGCTTATCTGCCGTTGAAACAAGTCTCTAAAGCGAATGCTAAAACAAATACTCATAAGCAAAACTAAAATGGGACAAAAACAATTAGCATAAAAGTATTAGGCAAAAAGGTTTCGTGGTGTAGTTGGTTATCACGTCAGTCTAACACACTGAAGGTCTCCGGTTCGAACCCGGGCGAAGCCACTATATCTAAATTTTTTAATCTTTCCTACAAATTAATACTCTTGAATATACTAAGCCAAAGAAGACATGCATGTTTCTTTTATTTTGATATATACATCAGTTTAAATCAGCAATTGATATAGAATCTAGGCAAATCCTAATCTTATATTTTGTATAACCCCGACAATGAAACAAAAGAAAAGGATAGAGAGGAAGAAGTATGAAGATATCTAGACATGTGGTAATCAATGCCGTGGATATGACAGACTCTTTCTCACATGGATTGTTTAATGGTTACCCGTCTGTTGAATATTTGAAGATGTCATAGATTGACTGATCAAATCAACAATTTAACGAACAAGCTTCGCGGGCTCGGAATCGGTGTTTCTACTCGCGACTTGGCAACCCTCATCTAGTAGCGATCCGTAGCTTTTTGAGTAGTAATGTTTGTCTTTAATTTTCTGTAGCGTGCTTTTATCCGATCATGTAATCTCTGTAACTTCTCTCAAAAATTTAAAATTGTATAAAACTTAACCTTTTATCAAAAAAAAAAAAACTTTTTTCACATGATGAATGATTTATATATACGAACACAAGTAGGTAGAGTTTGGTGATATAACACTTGAAATAAGTAGAGGCTAAAGCTCTACATCTACTTATTATCTGTGTAGACTTTATACCCTAGTTTGTTAAATAATTAGTGGTAATGAGTTGTTATATATGGACTAAAACATAACCCCTTTTTAAGCTTTTGTAGCGTTTCCTTTTGACTATTGACACCAATATAAAACCTTTTAAAAAGAGCAAAAAGAGAGTATTCAATTTGAATTGAACAAAAAAGTGTGTAGTAGACGAAGTGATGAAAAGGGGTTTGTACAAAAAGAAAGAAAGTAAAATCGTTTTTGGCATTTGTTCTTAAAACCACTCTTTTCGGTTTCTCTCTACTATTAAATCCATTCTTAACTTGATAAGACGTGTTTATGGATATATATACTCTTGTATCTAAAGCTTTAAAGAACAAAATCAAAGGATATGAAGATGTAAAAGACTCTCTCTTTTATTTGTATGGAAACTGACTCAAAATCATACATTCACAACCCTAAACATACAAAGCTCTCATATCATCTAATGCCATAACTCGACATCTATTTATATGAAAACACAAACTCAAAACCCTAATAGAACTTAACCGACATATTAGATAACTCCTAATACAATCTAATCTTTATCTCAAAATATCTAAAACCTCTTTTAAAACTAGAGACTTCCATCTCAAGTTATCTCCACAACTTCAAGCTTATACAACATATACTCACTGATTTTTAATCAGTTAATGGATTTTTAAAAAAAAAAATTGAAATTTGAGCCTTTGTATTTTTTTTTCAAATCTGTTAAATTCCAATGTGAAATCAAGTTTTTACCAAAATCCAACAAAAATCATTAAACGAGTAAAATCGGATTATAAATTATTAATGGGATAAACACATGGTTTTGATAAAAGAATTAATCAATAATGCAATAATATGCAATAGCACATGATTTTTCTTAGATTTTCAAATCACTTTTTAATATATATGTTTATTTGTTTTAGGTGGCACAAAATAGAAATTTTGGTCTATCCCCAAACAATAAATATATGTTTTGTGCGTTCATAATTATAATCAACACTACTAATTTTTTAATATATGTATTGGATAGGTTAAAAAACCAAATATGTGTTGTTTCTTTTAGTATTAATAAGTTTCACAAATACTCAAATAATTCAAACAAAGAAGAGTAGAAAAGAGACCGACATGTACAAGGTAAAGTGTCGGTACAATGCAAGGTCATCCACCTATTAGTCATAATTGGTAAATATGTCATTTGACTAATGACTTTATGAGTAATTGAATTTGACTAAATGACTCTATGAGTCAAACGCGTAATTAGAAAGATTACACACCAGCTTCTAAGATATTGAGATGCTGAGTTGGCATCAACTCTCTTCAATCTTCATCATCATGCTACTATATAATCCATTCTTTGTCCTCTCCTCTCTTTTCATCTAAATTCACATCTACTTTGCTCATATAGATATAATTTTTTCTTCTTAAAAAACAAAAATGAGAAGCTTTCTCTACCTCATCGTAGTCATCTTCCTCTTCTCATCATCTGTTAACGCTTGTGATCGATGTCTTCACCGTTCTAAAGCAGCTTATTTCTCCTCTGCTTCTGCTCTCTCTTGTAAGCATTCCTATCTTCTCTCATTACTTTGTTTGTTTCTTTTTCTCATGTCTTGTTTATGGGTTTTTGCAGCTGGAGCTTGTGCTTATGGCCCTATGGCTACGAGATTCTTTGCCGGTCACATTGCGGCAGCTATACCTTCTATTTACAAAGATGGTGCTGGCTGTGGAGCTTGCTTCCAAGTCAGATGTAAGAACCCCAAGTTGTGTACCAGTAAAGGAACCATTGTAATGGTCACTGACTTGAACACGAGCAACCAAACTGATCTTGTTCTTAGTAGCAGAGCTTTTAGGGCAATGGCTAAGCCTGTTGTTGGTTCTGACAAATACCTTCTCAAACAAGGCATTGTCGACGTTGAATACCAAAGGTTCGATTCTTAAAACACCCAACTTCTTGGTTTTTTATAGTCACTTGATTTATTTTAGTACTAATAATAAGAAGGTTTTGGAAATGAAAACAGAGTTCCTTGCAATTATGGTAAAAGGAATTTGAACGTGAGAGTGGAAGAAGCAAGTAAAGGGCCAAATTACTTGGCGATAAAGCTTTTGTACCAAGGAGGCCAAACCGAAGTGGTAGGTATTGACATTGCTCGAGTGGGTTCGTCACAATGGAGTTACATGACTAGAAGCCACGGAGCCGTGTGGGCGACGGATAAAGTACCAACCGGAGCTCTTCAGTTCAGGTTCACGGTGACAGGCGGCTACGATGGCAAAACGGTTTGGTCGAAGAGGGTTCTTCCGGCCAATTGGAAAGCTGGGATGATCTATGATACCGGTGTTCAGATCACCGACATTGCTCAAGAAGGTTGTGACACATGCGGTCACATATGGAACTGACTCATTACAATTCTCCTTATTTATAGGCAAACAACAAACACCCTTTATAGGATTATACATGTATGTGTAACACAACAAAGGAACTATAATAAAATCTATATATGTACACGGTACACCATTCACAAAACTAAAGATCATGCTAAAAACTAGAGTTCATGTCAGCAAAAAAAAAACAAAAAAATGTCACTTAGTTTATCATTGCAAGCAAGAATCCGACAAGAAAAAAACATAACTTAGAGATGTCTACATCTATGAAGTAGTACAGCCATTAAAACACAATCAGCAATATATAGAACCATATGAAGATCCGAACTCAACAAATCAGATGCAAATGGTTGTCACTTAAGAGAAAAAGATTAGAAAATTGAGTGAAATAAATTGATATGAATATATAATGTATTATTTCTCTCCAACATGTTCATCTCAAATTATCCCTCAAGTTCCGTACGAGAGTACTTGAAACTAGTAATGAATGTCTTGAAACTAGTAGTGAATGTCTCAAAAGCAACACAGTGAAAGACTTTGGGAGAACCAATGTATTATCTTAAATTTTAGTAATTACCTTAAATTTTAGTAAGGCAACACCGTCAAAATGGTTTCGTGGTGTAGTTGGTTATCACGTCAGTCTAACACACTGAAGGTCTCCGGTTCGAACCCGGGCGAAGCCATTATGTTTATTTAGTTGTTTTTTTCTTAGATTTGATTTTGGTACATTGCATTCATCTTGATAAAAACTACATTTATTGTGATTTATAATTAGAAAATCATCTTATACAAATAACCATTTAACTAAACGGAGATCAATCAAAGACAAATCTATCTTTTTTTTTTTTTTTTTTTTGACAGCACAAAGACAAATCTATCTCTGTTTTAGCCTTTTAGGCTTTTGTCCTAGCTAGGTTTTGATTGGGCTTTTACCCGTTTGGTGTTTTGGTTTTACTTGCGTTTATGTTGAAAACTAGAAATTAACCCGCGGTACACCGCGGGCCTATATTTTTATTTAATAAAACTAAAACTTTAATTTTTCAGATTATCTACATATATAACCTATTGTTTTGTTTGATTTAAATATGCATATATATATAATGTATGTTTAGTCTGTTTTAGGTTTCAATTTTAAAATATAGAAACAAAAACATACAGTTCATTAAAAAACGTTATATAGCGGATTTAAATATGAATTTATTTTGTTGTTTGCATTTTATTATAATATTTTGCATTTTAGGGATTGACCAATGGTATTTGTTTTGTTTAGTATTTATGATTGTATTATTGTGTATTTAGTGTTAATTCTAAAATTTCATCCATAGTATACTGTCCCGTATTAATATCTAACCAAACCCATCCCACCATATAACCATGTCCCGTGAAATTAAACATCATTTTGTCATTTTTAATAGTATTTTACTTAAAAAGCATATAATATATATATATATATATATATTTAATTGTTATAGAATTAAAATATTATTAATATTATAAACTTTGTTATAGAATTTAAATATTATAAATAACTTAAACGTTTTATAAAGTTTAAATATATATAATATATAAACTTCTTATAAATTTTATAAAGTTGAAATATTTATAATAATTGAAACTTTATAAAATTTCTAATATTATAAATATTTAAAACGTTTTATAAAGTTTAACTTTTTATAAAGTTTAAACAATTATCATATTTAACTTTTAATAAAGTTTTAATATTTATAATATTTTGAAATATAATGCTAAAGTAAACGTACCTTTTAAGAATAAGCTGCAACACTTCTTAGAACACCACATTAGTTGTTTGTTTTCAATTTTGTTTTTTTTTGTTGACAACGTAAGTCTCTTAGAAAGGCAAATGTTGCAGCCACTATTGTAATACCCACCTCCTTTTTGATGCTTATAAATTCACGTTACACCAATCAAATCCTTGTTGACAGAAGCATGGATCTTAACACCCTAAATTAAAAACGAAAAAAACAATAATATTAGTGATGAAAATATTAAAGTAAAATAGATAAGGAATAAAAGTAATTTTTCTCTAATAATAATGAAATCGTGATGAAAATATTAGACTAAAAGAGATTAGTTTCACGGTTTCTATGCTAGAAAAAGAATTAGTTGCACTGTGTTTTATGATCGGAGAAGATGATATAATAGGGAGTATTTATAGTCGTGTAAAGTAGTTATGGAAGATCTTGGTGATCAAGAATAATATCTTTGGAACCATAAGGCATTTAGAATTAAAAATTTGAATTCGTGAAAATTTTAAAAATATGTGATATATTTCTTGCTATTGAGTAGTAATTAGGTAAGATATCATTGATATGTAATCGAATAAGAGGATATTCTGCGTAAAAAATATAGGAAATAAGAGTTGATATGTAATTGAATAGGAGGTTATTATGCGTAGGTAATGTAGGAAATAGGAGTTTAATACCAAATAATTGTATTAAATATCTCTAAAAATCATAACAATACATGCTATGTTAGGTATGATAAGCTAGTAATTAGGAAACATCCATTTATTAATTTTCAAAGTGACGAATTGTTATAGAAACACCATTGATTAGTTACAATATTTGTTAAGATACGTTTTCTATAAGATTGTTTTTAACAAAAAATTGCAATAATAAATAGATAAACATTTAAAACGGGTATAATGAGATAAACAAATATGGTTAGTTTACAAAATCTACATATATTTCCGATTTGGTTGGTAATTAAATATTTAATGTCGTTATGAATTTATTTTTTTGGTTATACTTAGCAAATATCCGATTGCCATAAAATCAGGTCAATTAATGTGGGAAAAGTTAAGGAAACAGAAAATAAATTCTAAACAAAAATGTATATGTAGATTAGTTGCTAAATAAATGTTAAATAAATCGGATCCTCGTGTAAACAATTAATCCTTGTTTTATTATGTGCATTAATTTCGGAACCAAATTAGATTCTGGAAACTAACGTTTAAATTCTCCTAATTTAAAAAATGAATTAATGATTTATATTGTATTAATTATTTATGATAAGGTATGTGGAATAATCATTAGAAATTTAGATTTGATTTTGATTTTGATTTTATTGTTTTAGTAGTTTCTATTTGCTAGATATTCTCGATATTATGTTTAATAGTATTTAAAATTAAATATTTGATTTCCATATCTTTGAAACTCAAATCTAAAAATTAGGGATGTTTAGTTAGTTAATTTATTGTCGATTTGTTTCTAAAGAATTTTAAATATAAGATTGCAATCTTTCCAAATATATGGCTATTTATTAGGAGCATTAATATGAAAGATTATCTAGGATTAAATAGGTAACCTTAAATATGGATAATAAAAGAATTAATTTCGTTTTAATAAATGTGTTAGTGTTATACTTATACCCGATTGCCATAAATCAGGTCGTTTTAAAGTCGATTTATTTAAAAATTTCCTAAAATTTCTTATCCAAGATCCGGATAGAGTTAAACCCGGGTAAAACCCGGATCCAAATGAATTAATGCAAAAAAACCCTGTAAAAATGTATATGTAGATAATAAATACGTTAATATATTGTAGAGATATTTTAGGGAATAACAGTGGATTGATTTGAGGGAGAAAATCTTTCGAATACAATATGGCTAATTATAAGAAAGTGAAGAGATATAGTCATATTAATTAGGCTAAGATAATGGATTATTGCATATATTCTTATATCCTAAATCTTTTGGTTAAAATTTCCCAACTATAAATGAGATAAGGTATGTGGAGAGTAATTATTTTTGATTGTGCAAATAGTCCTAATCAATTAGATATTAAAAGGATCCGGCGATTAATGTGGCAAATAGTTTAAGGAATATCATTAAACCGAATTGTTAGATTAATTATACTCAAAATATTCTATAGTTTTTATTATAGAATGCTAAGTATCCGGAGATGATTAATATGGAAATAGTATAAGAATAAGTAAATGAATTAAAGACAACATGGCTTCATTTATCAGTTTGAAATTAAGACAACATCCCTAAAATTGCTTATCCAAGATCCGAATAGACTAAAACCGGGTCAAACCCGGATCCAAAAGACTTTATGCAAAAATCCCCTGTAAAAATGTATATGTAGACTATTAGAATCAGAAGTTTGGGTGTGTAACTATCTTTTCTCTTAGGTTTATTATATTTGATCTTAACAAATAGGAAGTGTACATATATATAGGACCAAAAATATATAGTTTCTGATTTTCTGATATAATTAATTAGAGGATCCGATATCATATAGAAATGGTAAAATTGACTTGAATATTATATGAGCCGAATTACAGTAAGTTACATATAGAGGTTGAGAGAATTAGATTGTAATATATTTTTCACTCATATACTTACCGGATTTGCCAAATCGAATTGGAAATAAATCATAATAGCAAATAAAATCTTTCATTTTTGGGTAACACTCAAATTCATCTTTCTATTGTTGGTGTTGAGTAAAACAAACATACATTATATCTCATGTGTAATATAAAGTCATCTTTCAATCAACATCAATGGTAAACTGATATAAATAAAGAAAATTATTCACGAAAAAGAACAACATACAAAACAATGAAGAGTTTTATCATAGCGTTTCTTCTTGTGCTCGTCATCTTCTCTGCTGGTAAATAATCTTTTCGTTTATATAAGACATTTTGACATGTATTATAGTATTTAGTATATAAGTTTTTATGTTACTTATAAATATGCAAGAAGTTAGTTCATCTAGTAAGTTTGATGCATGATTGCCCGCAAGGTGGTGGGCTAGTGGTAGGGCGAGTCTGGAGTTGAGGGTGAAATCCCCGAACCCAGGTTCGATCTTCCTCCCTCGCTGTTATCAACACTTTGTGGGAAGTCTGGGCTTGGGCTTCGGCCCAGGCAGTTTACCTGGTAGTCTGGTAACAGGCGATCCAGCTACCCCCGGGCATTAGTCGGAAAGCATTCCAAACTTGGGTTAGGCAGTGTGGTAGCCCATCCTTCGGGGTGGTAGTGAGTCCACATGGTAGCACTTCGGTGCGTTCCCCCAGGGCTGACCGGATCAGCCGATCGGGTATATCAAAAAAAAAAAAATGCATGATTGCTAGATTTAGTTTATTTGATCTAAGTTCGACTCGATTAAATTTATATTATTATTATTATTTTTACAAATTACAGATATGGAAAAAGGGAGTGGATACAAAACACCAGTAGTACCAGAACCCACATGGAAATGGTGTTCATATTCATTGCCGATGAAACCATGCACAGACGATGCTTGTGTTAAACGATGTATTGCGGATAATACGCATGGATGGTTGCTTACTATTGGCATGTGCACAACTATTCCAAGTGTAAAGGATTGTTACTGTGTCCATCAGTGTCCCTAATTTCTTTCATCATCAACAATTCTTCCTCTTTTACACGAAAAAGTATATGAACTATATACTTCCGAATTTGTTTTTTATTTTTTTTATCCAAATCTCTTTTCTTTGAGCAACTACTCCACTTTATATTTTTTATTAAATTGTTGTCCATATGCAACCATGTTAACTATGATGCAATATTGAGTAAGCTAAATTTCTGAAAGTTACGAGAAAAGCTGCGAAATAATAATATACTTTTCTTGTTATTAATCCGATCAAGAAAAATTATTTTTAGCAAAAAGAAATTTTTTTTACCAACTTCTGACGTCTTATAAATATTATTATGTAATTTTACCTTAAATTATATATGTGTTAAATATAAATCGGAAAATTTACCTTTGCAAGTCGGAAAATTTTATGTCAATGAAAATAAATCAAGAAAATAACCGATTTGAATATGATTTATTTGTGAGAAATTTAGAAATCTTTCAATTGTTAATAAATATTACTAAAAATTAAGAAAGAATTACTAAAAGAAGTGCAACTCTTTTGAAAATACTAGTATAGATGTTAATTGAAGTGGCTTGAATGAGCCCAACTACACGATGGGCTTACTTACTTAAACAATGAACATAAGAGGGACAAGATTGGGTAAAAAATGCGTCGTTTCGGTATTGGTCATGCTCACTTCATTGGACTCCTTTAAAGCCCCACGGCCCCCACCACTTAAAAGAAGATGATCAAATAAATATATACTCTTCTCGTTTACTAGACATTAGCCTTAACCAAATCCCATTTAGCACTAAGCTCAAGAAGAAATGAGTGACTCTTTAACTTCGATATGCATCATTAACAAAAATCAGTGGTTGATAAAGAGATCTTAAACAAATCATAATCTTATATATTGTATAACTCCGACTATGAAAAATAAAATAGAGAGGGGAGTATAATGAAGATATCTTCACATGTTGTAATCAATGCCGTAGGAGTCGTTCTCACATGGATGTTTTATGGTTACCAATCTTTGAATATTTTGAAGAATTTCAATAACCAAATCCACAATCTAACAAACAAACTTATAACATGTCCATTAATACTAACACATGTATATATAGAGTTTAGTGATAAATCACTTGAAATGAGGAGAGGCTAATATAATGCTCTACTTCTAATTATTATATGTGTAGACTTTATACAATGGTTTGTTAGTGGAATGAGTTGTTATGAACTAAAACCTAGTCCTAGCTAGCTAATCCCTTTTGAGTGTCTTCTACCTCTTGTTTCCTTGTGTATTTTAACAACAAAAATAAAATTCTTTTTATTGTGGGAGACTAATATAGCAAAAACGTGTCTAGACGAAGTAGTGAAAAGGTTTAGGACAAAAAGAAAGAAAGTGAAATTGGGTTTGGAATTTGTTCTTATCTTTCACCTACTTCCCAAAGCAATCCCCTTTTTTCAGGTTTCTCTCTATTATTAAAATCCATTCTTAACTTGATATGGTAAGACGTGTTTATGGATATACTCACTGATTTTAAAATCAAAATGCAAGGATTTTTAAATAATAAAATTTGTTTTTTTTGTTTAAAAACACTTTCAAATCTGTTAAAATCAAATGTGAAATCGAATCTTTGTGAAAATTTAATAAACTCAATAAATGTAGAATATCATATTTCAACTAGTATTTGACATTCTACCAACAAAACACTAGTATTTGGAATTATCAGTTAAGCGAATCAACATATGATTTTTATAAAAAAAAACTTTGGTATCAAACGATCTGATAACACATGATTATGTTTAGATTTCCAAATCAATTAAAATTCGATAACTCTTACTAATTTTTATTTTTTAGGGGGGGGTATTGGGTGAGAGAATTTAACAGAATAGAAACGAAGACATAATTATAGATTTTCAGAGAATTTAAATGATTTTCAAATCTTTCTTTCCAATTCTAGCAATTTATTTTACAGTATTTTAATAGAATTTTACCAGAATTTTTTTTCCCTCTTTCCATCAGCCACCATGCCCAAACCCTAAAAACTCTACCTTTCTCTTTCACCCTCCCTGTCTCTACCCAGAACAACGACGACGTCATCACCACCGTTCATTTCCTCTCTGTCTCACTCTATTTCCTTTATGTATCTCTCTCGATTCACACACTCTCCCCTCAGATATAATCTAAATAGATGATGATCCGACGACGAGGAATTAGCCAGATCATGAAATCACAGATTCTAGATTAGATGAATAAACAGTCTCTCTCAGATTTGAGTTTTTGTAAGCAAATAGATGAAGGAGAAAAATGATAGATTATTAGATGAAGGAGTCTCGATGTGTTAATATTCTATCCAAATCTCAACTCAAAACCTCAGAATTTGTTGTTCACATTTTACACTAATTTTTCTATTAAATTCCTGTCAAGTAACGAGGCCATACAAAACTTTAAAAAAATGAATAACACTTGCAATTAATAGAATTAAGAAATAAGGAAGTTAAATAACACAAGAATTTGAAAGAATTTTTAAAACGTCTACTTGAATAACACTAGAATTAAAGATTCTATTAAATTCCATCAAACTCATCGGTCCAATACCCCCTCCTTAATGTTTTAGTTGGCACAAATTAAATAAAAAATTGTACATATGTATTATTGGTTAAGTTTTTTTTTTCTTTTCCCTCAGGTTAGGTTTAAAAAAGAACAAATATGGGTTTTTTCGTTTATTAATTAGTTTTCAGTACTATAAGTAACATATGTTGTTGTCCCTTACCTCAAGAGAAGACCGACGTGAACAACCAAAGAAAAGAGTCGGTGTAACGCCACATCATCCCATGACACTCATATTGGTAAACTCTCTTCTCTCTTTCACACTTCTTTTTTACTTTTTGGACTCATAATTTAATCAAAAATGTCATTTTAACAAATGAATAAAACGCGTAATTGGGAAGCTACACTCACACACACATGTACCAGCTATGACGTGACAGTGTGTGTTAGATATTGAGACGCTGAGCTGGCATCATCAACTCTCTCCTCTATATAATCCATTCTTTGTCCTCTCTTCTCTTCTCATGTAATTCACATATCTCTCTAATTTGATCATATAGATATTTATTGTTTTCTCTTGAAAGAAACAAAAATGAGAAGCTTTCTTTATCTCATTGTAGTCATCTTTCTCTTCTCATCATCTGTTAACGCTTGTGATCGATGTCTTCACATTTCTAAAGCAGCTTATTTCTCCTCTGCTTCTGCTCTCTCTTGTAAGCATTCACATCTTCTCTGATCATTACTTCTTTTTAACTACTTTGTTTGTTTCTTTTCTCATGTTTTGTTAATGGGTTTTTGCAGCTGGAGCTTGTTCTTATGGCTCTATGGCTACAAGTTTCTTCGCCGGACACATAGCCGCAGCTATACCTTCGATCTACAAAGACGGCGCTGGCTGTGGAGCTTGCTTTCAAGTCAGATGCAAGAACCCTAAGCTGTGTAGCACTAAAGGAACCACTGTGATGATCACAGACTTGAACAAGAGCAACCAAACTGATCTTGTCCTTAGTAGCAGAGCTTTTAGGGCTATGGCTAAACCTCTTGTTGGTGCTGACAGAGATCTTCTCAAACAAGGCATTGTCGATATCGAATACCAAAGGTACGATTCTCAAAACACCTAAACTATTTGGTTTTCTTAATCACATGATTTTAATTTGGTAATGAAAAAACAGAGTTCCTTGCGATTACGGGAACAAGAATCTAAACGTGAGAGTCGAAGAAGCAAGCAAAAAGCCATACTACTTAGAGATAAAGCTTTTATACCAAGGAGGTCAAACCGAAGTAGTATCAATCGACATTGCTCAGGTCGGTTCATCGCCAAATTGGGGTTACATATCCAGAAGCCACGGAGCTGTATGGGCAACTGACAAAGTACCAACCGGCGCTCTTCAGTTCAGATTCATAGTAACCGGCGGCTACGACGGTAAAATGATTTGGTCACAAAGTGTTCTTCCATCCAATTGGGAAGCTGGCAAGACTTACGACGCCGGCGTTCAAATCACAGACATTGCTCAAGAAGGTTGTGATCCATGCGATGCTCACATCTGGAACTAACTTATATAGGCACATAAACAAAACATCCTTCATAGGTTTATATATGTAATGTGTTACAGAGTTAAAGAACATAATGTGAATGCTTAGTCTAATGATTCTACAATGATTAAACATTAAACACACAAATTAAGATTCAAAAGCAGATTCATAACATTACTTTACACAACGTAGAATGATAATTAAAGCTTGATAAAACGAAACAGAAACCCTAAAACCAAGGTCTAAAAGATAACATTCGATTCAAATTAGAGAAACAAACCCTAATTTACTAAATCAAGAGCTGGTGAATTTAGTCACAGCCTTAGTTCCTTCAGAAACAGCATGCTTCGCAAGCTCACCAGGAAGAACAAGTCTAACAGCAGTCTGAATCTCCCTAGAAGTAATCGTCGGCTTCTTATTATACCTCGCAAGCTTCGACGACTCCGATGCCAATTTCTCGAAGATGTCGTTAATGAAACTGTTCATGATTCCCATAGCTTTGCTTGAAATACCAATATCTGGATGAACTTGCTTCAGAACCTTGAAGATGTAGATCTTGTATGTCTCGACACTCTTCTTCTTCATCTTCTTCTTTTTGTCTCCGCCGGCGCCGGCTTCTTTTGGGAGTTTCTTGCCGGCTTTTGGTTTCTTCTCTGCTGGAGCTTTCTCGGCTTTGGATTTCTCCTCTACTGGTTTCTCGGCGGCTGGTTTCTTCTCTGCCGGCTTCTTCTCTGCTCTCGGCGCCATTGTTTTGACTTTTTGATTTTCTGGGTGATGATGAAGAAGAAGAAGAAGCACAGATCTGAGTGATTTTGATATGTTATTTGATGAAGATGAGTTTTGGTTTTATAGTAGTTCGAATAATTGATATGATTGGTTATTAGATATTGACGAGGATCGATGAGTTGGAAGATCGTAACCGTTGAGATTGTTTTTAATCGACGGTTTATAAAGTTATGAAGCGGGATCGATGACGTGTCAATATTTGGTTTATGTTTAAGCGCGGTGTTAAAATCTCCGTTCCCGCTCCACTGTATTGTATATGGGCTTTGGGCTTAATCGGCCTGGTCCAAAATTGATCTGATTTGACCCGGTTCACTCTCAGGCGGTTCATTAAGTACAATTTGTGAACTCTGTTATACTCTCTGGCAATCAAAAGCAACGCATCACATTTCATATCCAAATGCAAAGATAAACGAAGAATAACCTAATGAACAACCCCATAACATGAACACATATCTATAGATTCAAATGTCTTTTGTGGAACAAATGAAAAAGAAACCAAAGTCATATCAGTAAATTAAATGTAAACCCTGAAACTAAAACGACACCTAGTTACATCAACACCATAAACCAAACCCTAAAATCCAAATCTCCATCAAACCGGATTGGTCAACGATTTCGCTTGAAAACAAAACAAAACACTTGAACATTTTTTTCAGCATTTTGACGCACACTAACATTTAGTTCTCATAGATGAAAACACATGAAGACATATCATAATACCAAATAGATAGATAATAATATAAAAGTTTTAATAATAGTCAAGGGGATACATATCACTCGAGAAACAAGTTTATTCAAGGCCCTTGCAAGGGTTTTATTTCTTAGTTGATACGGCGACTGATAACATCAAGACCTATTTCGGTTGGATTGGTTGCATGAAACTCCACTTGAATTCCATCTAGTTCTCTCTTGAACTTATCCTTAGAGCTCGCGTAAATCATCTTGTTTCTCATACTGGCAGTTTCCGGAGACCTTGGCACAAAAAAAACAGACTCAAACACATTGATGATGATCATAACGTAAGCAAATCAAGGAAATGAGTTAGCAAAAAGTAACAAGAATATTATTTTACCACGCGATGAAGCAAATCTTCCTCTCCCCTGGGACAAATTCGATATCAAAAATGGCATATCGACATTCATCAGCTGGAAGACTGTTTGCAAACTCCTCATATGATTGTTCACGTTCACCAAGTTTCTCTACAATCACTTGCATGTTGTCCTCAATCTTGTAGACTATGGAACGGAACGTTCGACTCTCCTTCAGTTCCAAGAATTTGAATATGCAATCATCATGCACAACCATTACTGATGCTGCGTTAGCCTGTTATTATATCAATACATAGAACAAAAAAAATAAAATACATTTCTAGTCACCCATATTGGAGAAGTAACTCGAAACAGAATTGGATATTTTTATCATCTCTTAGCATAACATGTAGCTTCCACGACAAGGTCGTCTATAGTAAAACAATTTATAGACAACAAGTACCACATAGATCGACCAATCGATCGATTACAACCGACCAAAACGTTCAAACTTATATGAACACGTCAAGTGAAAAAAACACAAGATTATTCCTGATTTCATATTAACTAGCGAAGAGGCAGAACAAAGTTATGACTTCTTCATCGGATTCCAATTCTAGATTAATAAAAAAGAAACGAGAGGAAATTTAGCTCACCATGTGAAATGAAGAAGACGTTCTCCGGTCGGAAAAAACTATAAAGAATATGAATCCGAGTTTTTTTTTTCTTTACTGTTTTTTCTCTTTTATTTTCCAGTGTTATTTATAAGTATCCCAATAATTTGTATATGGAAACGTATGTCATTTGTTTATTTGTCTCTTTACATTTGGTTATTATCATAATATATGGATAAGAAAATATAATAAAGTATTTATTTTCTATTAAATGATAAAGTATATATTTTTTGTTAAATAATAAAGTATTATTTTTTTCTTTTTTCAATGTTATTTATAAGTATCCCAATAATTTGTATATGGAAACGTATTTCATTTTTTTATTTTTTTCTTTACATTGGGATATTATCATAATATATGGATAAGAAAGTATTATAAAGTATTTATTTTCTGTTAAATAATAAAGTATTTATTTTTTCTCTCTTCTTTTTTTCATTGATATTTATAAGTATCAAAATAATTTGTATATGGAAACGTATTTCATTTGTTTATTTGGTTTTTTACATTTGGTTATTATCATAATATATGGATAAGAAAACTAATAAAGTATTTATATTCTGTTAAATAATAAAGTATTATTTTTCTCTCTTTTTTTTTAGTGTTATTTATAAGTATCCCAATAATTTATAGGAAAACATATTTCATTTGTTTATTTGTTTCTTTACATTTGGTTATTATCATCATATATGAATAAGAAAATAGAATAAAATATTAATTTTCTGTTAAACAATAGTATAAGAAATTACTTATTTCAGATAAGGTGATAACTTCATGGATAAGTTCACAAGTTTAGAGATAGTGCAATCATAATTTGGAGGGTGATTGGTAGAGACCTTAATTGACCCGGTTTATCTGGTTCTCCGATTATTTGTGTTTCGGTTTAAGTTAGTGAACTGAACCGGATTGGCTAATATATCAAGCTAGATTTCCGCCATTAATTTAGCTGCACACGTTTTAAGCTAGATTTTGCTTCAAAAGAAAATTAAACCGCTTGTTTTTTTTTGTTTTTTTTGAATATATTGAGTTGCTTTTGAGTTATGACTTATGAGCAACATAGGCTTAGTTTCAAGCTCGACCATGTATTCACTATTTTAGCATTACATAGAGAGTAGAGAGGGCTCTACACAATGAAAATCATTATTGAAAGCGAGAACTCTAAAACACTCTCACATGGAGTATACAAATTCTAAACAATTTAGGAAAAGTTTTGCTTAAAAAGAGAATTTGTAAAAAATTGATGATTTTGTCAATTTATCTTGGGTTCCATTTTTAATGATTTTTTTTGCTGGAGCTTATTGATTTGTTGATTAATTAAGCATATAAAGCAGAGAGTAAAATGAAATTTTAACGATTTAAATGTCATTTTTTTTATTAGAAAACGAAACTTTTTACCAATACTATGCTTCTAATAACAACATCCTCATACATACATAGTACACACAATCAAACTATTAAACCCTAAAAACACTGAAAACAATAAAACCCTAAGAAGTTCTTCATGACTTCATCTCCAAGAATCTTAATCTTGAAATGCTTTCCAAGTTCTAAAACCCAGAAACACAGTCGGAGGAGAAACAAACAGCCATAAAATTCCCCAGAATCCAAACAAATTCACAAGAAAATACGCCAAAGTCAAAAATCCAAAAAGCATCGCATCTTCTTCAAAGCTCCTATTGTTTAAACCCATGGCCTCGACGAAAGCAGTTACTAAACGAGCCATGACATAAGCAGCTCCCATCATCCCAGCGATGTAACAGAACCAGAAAAACTAGCGTCGTAACCAAGAGAACTGTAATTAATGTGGTCTATACAATTACAGTATGAAGAATGAAGAATCTAATTAAACAAATGTGTAAAACAGAGTATTTGCCGTGAAATTGAACTAACCTGATTACAAGTTGATTTAAAAATAACGTTACGAGCCTGCTATATTATCAAAGATTCAAAGTAGGCTTTTCTAGGCCTATTGTTTAATTCGTTGACCTGAGTTGACTCGGTCCTGTTTTTGTGATTTTGTTGAATTAGTGGATTGAACCGGATTGGTCAACGTTTTGCTTGAAAACAAAACAAAAACACTTAAATCTTTTTTTTTTGCATTTTGACGCACACTAACATTTAGTTCTCATAGATGAAAACACATGAAGACAGATAATAATAATAAATAGATAGATAATAATACCATAAGTTTTAATAATAGTTAAGGAGAAACATATCACTCGAGAAACAAGTTTATTCACGGCCCTTGCAAGGATTTTATTTCTTAGTTGATACGGCGACTGATAACATCAAGACCTATATCGGTTGGATTGGTTGCATGAAACTCCACTTGAATTCCATCTAGTTCTCTCTTGAACCTATCCTTAGAGCTCGCGTAAATCATCTTGTTTCTCATTCTGGCAGTTTCCGGAGACCTTGGCACAAAAAAAAACAGACTCAAACACATTGATGATGATCATAACGTAAGCAAATCAAGGAAATGAGTTAGCAAAAAGTAACAAGTATATTATTTTACCACCCGAGGAAGCAAATCTTCCTCTCCCCTGGGACAAATTCGATATCAAAAATGGCATATCGACATTCATCAGCTGGAAGACTGTTTACATAATCCTCATATGATTGTTCACGCTCACCAAGTTTCTCTACAATCACTTGCATGTTGTCCTCAATCTTGTAGACTATGGAACAGAATGTTCGACTCTCCTTCAGTTCCAAGAATTTTAGTATGCAATCATCATGCACAACCATTACTGATGCTGCGTTAGCCTGTTATTATATCAATACACAGAACAAAAAAAAAAAACATTTCTAGTCACCCATATTGGAGAAGTAACTCAAAACAGAATTGGATATTTTATTGGATATTTTTATGATCGCTTAGCATAACAAGTACGTAGGTTCCATGACAAGGTCGTCTATAGTAAAACAATTTAGAGTTCATCAGGAGACAACAAGTACCACATGGATCGACCAATCGATCGATTACAACCGACCAAAACGTTCAAACTTATATGGACACGTCAAGTGAAAAAAACACAAGATTATTCCTGATTTCATATTAACTAGCGAAGAGGCAGAACAAAGTTATGACTTCTTCATCGGATTCCAATTCTAGATTAATAAAAAAGAAACGAGAGGAAATTTAGCTCACCATGTGAAATGAAGAAGACGTTCTCCGGTCGGAAAAAACTATAAAGAATATGAATCCGAGTTTTTTTTTTCTTCACTGTTTTTTCTCTTTTATTTTCCAGTGTTATTTATAAGTATCCCAATAATTTGTATATGGAAACGTATGTCATTTGTTTATTTGTCTCTTTACATTTGGTTATTATCATAATATATGGATAAGAAAATATAATAAAGTATTTATTTTCTATTAAATGATAAAGTATATATTTTTTGTTAAATAATAAAGTATTATTTTTTTCTTTTTTCAATGTTATTTATAAGTATCCCAATAATTTGTATATGGAAACGTATTTCATTTTTTTATTTTTTTCTTTACATTGGGATATTATCATAATATATGGATAAGAAAGTATTATAAAGTATTTATTTTCTGTTAAATAATAAAGTATTTATTTTTTCTCTCTTCTATTTTTTCATTGATATTTATAAGTATCAAAATAATTTGTATATGGAAACGTATTTCATTTGTTTATATGTTTTTTTACATTTGGTTATTATCATAATATATGGATAAGAAAATATAATAAAGTATTTATTTTCTGTTAAATAATATTATTTTTCTCTCTTTTTTTTTAGTGTTATTTATAAGTATCCCAATAATTTATAGGAAAACATATTTCATTTGTTTATTTGTTTCTTTACATTTGGTTATTATCATCATATATGAATAAGAAAATATAAAAAAATATTAATTTTCTGTTAAACAATAGTATAAGAAATTACTTATCTCAGATAAGGTGATAACTTCATGGATAAGTTCACAAGTTTAGAGATAGATAGTGCAATCATGATATGGAGGGTGATTGGTAGAGACCTTATTTGACCCGGTTAAGCTGGTTCTCCGATTATTTGTGTTTCGGTTTAAGTTAGTGAACTGAACCGGATTGGTTAATATATCAAGCTAAATTTCCGGCATTAATGTAGCTGTACACGTTTTAATCTAGATTTTGCTTCAAAAGAAAATTAAACCACTTGTTTTTTTTTTTTTTTGAATATATTGAGTTGCTTTTGAATTATGAGCAACATAGGCTTAGTTTCAAGCTCGACCATGTATTTACTATTTTAGCATTACATAGAGAGTAGAGAGGGCTCTACACAATGAAAATCGTTATTGAAAGTGAGAACTCTAAAACACTCTCACAAGGAGATGCTTGATATAGGATTCAAAACATATACAGATAAATAATCAGATAGATAAATCATGGGTTGTTGAGACAAGGCTTGAAGCCTAGCAATAACACCAAATCTGATTTCAAGTATTGTACATATTAACTAATTGAAAACCATCACAAGGCACACATTCTCATAGTTCTCATAGATGAAACACATCAAAGACAGACAATAATACCAAATAGAATGAAGTTGAAGTTGTTAAAAAGTTTTCATAACAGTCAGAGGAAACATATTCACTCCAGAAACCAAACTTATTTAAGGCCCTTACAGGTTTGTTTTCTTAGTTGGTGCGGCTTTTGAAAACATCAAGACCCATTTCGGTTGGATCGGTAGCTTGAAGTTCCACCTGAATTCCATCTAGTTCTCTCTTGAACCTATCCTTAGAGCTCGCGTAAATCATCTTGTCTCTCACTTTAGCAGTGTCCGGAGACCTTTGGCACAACAAAAAACACACATTGATGACCATAGACATGAGTTAGTAAGCGAAAGCAATAAGCAAATTAGTTTACCATGCAATGAAGAAGATCTTGCTCTTCTGGCAGTTCTCCGCAGTGACAAAGTCGAAATCGTAAATGCAGTATCGACATTCATCAGCTGGAAGACTTGCTGCAAAGTCATCATACGATTGTTCAGGTTCACCAAGTTTCTCTACAATCACTTGCTTGTCTTCAATCTTGTAAACTATGGTACGGAATGTTCGTTTCGCCTTCAGTTCCATAAATTTCAGCTTGCAATCATCATGCACAGCCATTCCTGACGCCGCGTTAGCCTGTTATCATATCAATACAGAGAACAAAACACTGAGAAGATGCACATCGCTTCAAAACACACTTCTAAACCAAAGATCAATCAACACAGAAATTGGATAATATTACCAATTTTGACTCATCACGAGACAAGAAGCACTACATAGATCGAACAATTGACTAACACTGATGAAAAACGTTAAAAAAAACTCGTAGAATTAACACTTGATTTTGAATTTGAAGTGAAAACAAGAGATTCTTCCTAATTTCAGATTAACTAGCGAAGAAGCAGAACAAAGTTACGAGTTCTTCATCGGATTTTCAAGTCCTAGATATATAAATCGGATCACACACCACAACAACACACGAAAACCAAAGATCAAGTACATGAGATTCATCTCCAGATCTATCTAACGAGCGAGAATCGTTATCCAAAGAGAAGCAACTCGAATCGACTAGCAAGCAATTAAAATTCGAGAAGAAAGCTTCAAAATGGAAGAACTTAAAACAGAAACGAGAGAAAATTGAGCTCACCATGGCTAAATCAAACCGATTTCAAAGAAAATTCCTGGTGAAATGAAGAAGACGTAAGAAGATATTTTCTCCGGTCGGCAAAAAATCAATGGAAAAAATGAAAATCACCTTTTTTTTTTCTTCACTGTTTCTACTCTTTTCGTTTTGTCAGCGTTATTTGTAAGCTATTTGGAAACGTATTTCATTTGTTTCTTTACATTTGGATAAGAAAATATAATAAAGTATTTATTTTCTGTTAAATAATAGTAATAAGAAACTATTGATTTTTGTAGTCTTCGGTATTCGGTTATCGGTTCGGTTTCGGTTCTTTTAGTTTTAGAGTTTAGTATCTATTTGGGTATTTTAAAATTTTGGTTGTTCGATTCGGTCTGATTTTTTCAGTTTTTAAATTTAGTATCCATTCGGATGTTTTCGGATCTTTCGGTTATTTTGGGTATTTCGGATATTTTGGATATTTTTTGTTGTATTTGAATATTTTTACTATTTTATTCTATTTTTCAAGTATTTTTATTATTTGGTCTATAAATAATTGTATTTCGTGTATTTTCGGATACCCGAAATATTGATTCGGTTTCGATTCTTTAGGTTTTCGAATTTAGTATCCATTCGGATATTTTCAAATTTTTAGTTCGGTTCAATTCGGTTAGCTTATTTATATCTAGTATTTGACTATTTCCCACTGTTCATATTTATTTATAAAGAAAGTTGTGATTACTACCTATTGTATATTTAAATTGTCATCGATTAGGTGATACCTTCGTCGATAAGTTAATAAGTTTAGAGATAGTGTAATTGATCATGATTTGTGTTTATTAAATGATTTGGTACCACTTCATGTTGGGTCTATACAAATGTGGTCAAAACGACCAATCCAATCATAATCTACTTAAATGTTCTTCTATTAACACAAAAATAATTGTACAAGTCTAAAACAAAAATTGTTTTTTTTCTTCTTCTAAACAAGTCTCATCCAAAAAAAAAATCCTAACCAAACTTCTTCACTTCTTCAATGAGGCAATCTCTTTCTTGATCTTCTCTACCTCTTCTTCACCAATCTTCAATCTTCCTTCATAGACTTTAGTCTTCTCACGAATCATCACAACTTGGTTCCCTTGAAATGTGACTAAAGTTGTCAAATAACTCTGCCTTTCATGGAGGTTTTCAATATCCTTTGTACGAGAATCGAATTTCTTATTTGTCTGTAAATCTTCATAAGCCTTCCATACCATATGTCTTCCATGCCATAAACCTTCAACCTGTTAGCTGATGTAGAACCAGCGGACTCATGTCTAAAGGTATAACTTGAAGAAAAATTCTGACAATGATGAGCTTTAACAATTTTTTTTTCTTTTTTCTTTTTGCAGCGTTATTTGTAATCTATCCGAATGATTTATAATTTTATATGGAAATGCATTTTCATTTGTTTATTTGTTTCTTTACATATGGTTAATTGATTATTATCATATAAGAAAACAATAATAAAAGCTTTTTTACTATTTAATAATAATAATAATATAGTATTTATTACTGATCTCTTACTATTTCCCACCGTTCATATTATTTACATTTGGTTACATTACATTTGTAAGCTATCTGAAGAATACATATCTCACCTATATTGAAAATGTCATCGATTATGTGATTATTTCGTGGATAAGTACAAATTCAATATTTGTGTTTATTAAACAAGATTTTACATTTGGTTACACTACATATGTAAGCTATCCAAATAATACATATCTCACATATATTGAAAATGACATCGATTATGTGATTACTTCGTGGATAAGTACAAATTCAATACTTGTGTTTATTAAACAAGATTTTAAATGAATTGGTAGCACTTCATGTTGGAGCTATACAAATGTGGTCAACACAAGCAATTTCTTACGAAACAAACATAAGAATGAATGGTCCAAAAATAACTGTAGATCAATCTGGTCCTAGACAGTTGTTTCATACAATTGTGAGGGAAGCTTTTAATCACCCATTTCATAAATGATACCCAAAAGGGTTCATCTTCAATAGACGATTTGGGGTCCTTACACACCATTTAGAAACCAAAGACAACATGAACAAATGACGAAACACCGATAGAATGAAGTTGTTAGGTTCATACCTTGACAACACAATGTAAAAGCATAATAAAGTATCATCACTCAAAAATAACAGAATAGGAGAATAGATCTTTCAAGGGGATAATAATCTTTGGGTTTTACTTTTAGTTGGCACGGCTTCTGAAAACATCGAGATCCATCTCGGTTGGATCGGTTGCCTGAAGCTCTACTTGAATTCCGTCTAGTTCCCTCTTGAACCTGTCCTTAGAGCTCGCGTAGATCATCTTGCTTCTCACCTTCGCTATGTCCGGGCACCTTGGCAAAATAACAGAAGTTGCATCACATAAATATGTCGAAAATTAATAAGAAACGAGACACAGAGTTAATGGCAAATTATATGATTAGCTACCACGCGATGAAGAAGATCTTGCTCTTCTGACAGTTCTCAGCAGTGACAAAGTCGAAGTCGTAAATTGCATAACGGCATTCATCAGCTGGAAGACATGCTGCAAACTCCTCGTAAGTTTGGATCGGTTCACCAACTTTCTCAACAACAACTTGCTTCTGCTTCTCCTCAATCTTGTAAACAATGAAACGGTGTGTCCTTTTCGCTTTCAGTTCCAGAAATCTCAGCTTGCAATCATCATGCACAGCCATTCCAGATGCTGCGTTCGCCTATTAAACCAAAGAACACTCATATCAAATCCATTTCACAAAACCTATTCAAGTCTTTTTTACATATCACGATCCATAAACCTCTATTATTCTCAAACCTCTAGAGCGATTATCAATTACATAAAAACTGATGAATCAATCAATAGGAGAAACAACAAAATATCATCGAAATTGAAAAAATTTCCAAGAACAAGAAGCCCTAAATAACTCTCCTGATTTCAAATTTTAGCAATCGGAATCGAAAAAAACCACAGTGAACTCAACAGAGAAGCTCTCTCGCACAGTTCTAATCCTAGATCAGTCACAAAACGATCACAAAAACACCAAATCTCAGAGATCTAAAACCAAATTCCAGTGACAGATCTAACGAAACAACAAAATGAGCCAGAATCGTAATCAGAAGATTTGTATACCAGACGAAACCAAAATCGAGAGAAGCACACTACAGATCGAGAAAATAAGTGGAAAATTGAGCTTACCATGGCGGAGACACACTAGTATCAGAGCAAATTCGTGGTTTAACGAAGGAGGAAGAAGAAGATATTTCTTCGGGCGGCTACAATCGACGGAGATTTCGGTCACTTTTTTTTTTTTTTTTCTTCTCAATTTCTTTTCTCTTCCTTTCTTCAACTTTATTCCAAGTCCACCATATTATAGACGAGAAAGAAATTTAAAAAAAAATTTTAAAAAAAAATTATATCCCCTATATATTAATAGAGAAACATTTTATAAAAAAAACCTTACCATCATGTGTTATTAACAAGATTGCCACGCTGATGTGTCGCTCTCACAATGATTTGGCTTCTATTTAAATAATTACCCAAGATTTATTAGACTATTTACAGAATTTGCCATTAGTCTCATACATCCATATATCTCATTAATAATTAAAAACATACACTTTTTGTTTATCTTATATTACTATATTTTTATATTTATATTTTCCTTTATATACATTTATATAAAAAAATTTTAGCGGATGGGTAAACAATCTTTTAATTTATATTTATATTTATGTTTATATTTAAATGACTCTAAAATATATACATTTGTTTCAAGAATCTCGAATTCAAAACTACAAAATCTTTACATCTTTCATAATTTTTTTACTTAAATAAATAAGATAATCTTCTTTCTATATATGTTACGAATACTTAAAATCCTATTTTTTGGAGGAGTTCTAACTTTTCGAAGAAAAACATTATAACCACATTTGTATATAAACCAAAATCTGGCCACATTATAACCATTTCGTAAATAATCCATTCATAATCTAAGAATCTTAGATTTGGAACACTACAAAATCTTAGCTTGGAAACTATCAAATCTCATATTTGCTAAATTTTGGATTTCTTATACTTATAAAAAAAAAATTTTCTTTTTATACTACAAAATCTCGGAATCTTTAAAACATACGGAAAGACATATTGCCATAAATGGTAACATTTCGTCAATACTTTTTTATCACGTTGAAGCTTTATTCAAAGTTCAAATATTTCACGGGTAAAACATATTCTATATGAAATAGTCCCAAATTTGAATAAAACAAAAACAAAAAAATTGTAACATGTTTTATTTTACACAAACGGATCTTGGATCCCGAATAATAATTTTAATCATAATAATTTTACTTGAATCACTTCATCCCGCATATCGTGCGGGTTGTTATCTAGTTATTTGGTATTTCAATAATATTCTTTGATTTTTTAATTCAATACTTTAATTAGATTTATTTTTTAACTCATTTCAGTCTATTTGGTAAGTGTTTCAATAAATAATTTTTAATTCAACACTAATTTCGAATTTCGTTGTACCATTGATTAGATAAATAATTTGTTGGTCAGAGAACTTTGTTTTAATGGGTTTTGGCTAACTTACGGTGAATGATTCGACTTTAAGAAGTAAAAAATATTGATACTGGCGATTAAGAGACATTCATAATTACATGATTAGGATTTTGATGATATTGAAAAAAAATACTTCATTTTCACAATTAGGGTTCATATGGTTCCACTGTCTGTCCTAATAACTAAGATTTTTGAAGATAAAATCTCAAATATCGATTAAATCAATAATAAAACACATACTTTATAATCAAAGTATAAAATATTCCAAAGAAAATACGCAAAACTTTACAAAATTAAAATTGTAGTGCAAATAATTATGGTTATTTTTTTTCTTCTAAATCATAGTTGACTAGAGATTACATTATGGGATAAAATAGTTCACCAGGTTTTGGGTTCTTCTTTAATTGTTGACCATTGATAGAAATTATTGTTGTCCTATATAACTTTAAGAAGATTCATAATTTTGTAACATATATATCTACCGGTCTAGACAAAATTGTTATTCAATAAACTAGATACTTGAATGACAAACTAACTTGGTACGTCATGTATCAGTTTCAAATTTTAAATACTCTTAGTTGGTTTGTTAGTACTTTATTTCAAAGCCCTAAGATTCAAACACTGCAGGTCCCATATATGAAAGCTTACAGATTTTAGAGACAAGAAAAAAACTTGTAAAAGCCTTCTTCAAAAAAGAAAAAACAAAAAAACTTGTAACAGATTATACACATTTTTTTTTTTTGGTAAGCTCAGATTATACACATTTGGTATGTGCATAGTTCAAAGAGAGAAAAAAAAAAAAAAAAAGGAAATTAATCCCTACATGAAATGGGACTAGATAAACATTCTTTTTCTATTTGTACTTTATGAAAAAATGCCAATACATTATTTTATTATCAAATTTCATTTTGAAAATCGAAAAAAAAAAGGTACGTGAATCATATGGCTCTTTCGGCAATATCTCCGGTTGGCTCCACTTTTCCGCTCAACTTTCATTATAGCGGTGATGGGAACCAGCTGAGTGGAGCTGGTTACAATCCAATCAATTATAGACACGTGGAGATTTTGGAGTTTGCTTTGTGCGACAGGTTTCCTACCGGCATGTCACTCTAGCTTCAGCGCTTATTAAATTAAAGCCCGTTAACTTAATCAGGCCCAATATTCATATTTAACAAATTAGGCCCAGATCAGCTCACAGTATCAAAGATTATTTCTTCTACAAACAAGGATTGCAACCATATCTCACAAATTGCATCAGTGCTGCTTTAGAGTTGTAACATGGAACTGATGATCTCAGATTAATTCTGTAAACAATGAGTGTCGATGCCCAAATGCCAAATTATCCGCGGTCCTCGGCTTTCTTACTGTTAATCTCTGATGTCACTTCCTCAGCGTTCTTCGCAACTTCAACGAATATTAGTCTACCATCTACAATCTAAAACAAAATAGCCAAATACAACTTAGTACATTTCTAAAGAAGCTCAACAATGTTATAGTCACAATGAGAGGGGAACAAAATCGATATAACTTCAGACCCTAATTGGCATTTCTACAATGAATTTAGAGCCCTATGGAAGTTATGGATATGTAAAATTCATTACAGAACAAAGTAATTTCTTAAGCAAATCTCCAAGAACTGATTAGTAGTACATTAAACAACAAAGCCAGAAACCTATTGAAGTGTTAATGGAGTAAAATTCAATTGGATTATCTCACCTTCCCATCTAAGCTTTTCAATGCCTTTCGTGCATCATCTTCAGACTCGAATGTGACAAAGCCGAATCCTTTTGGTCTCTGTGTTTCAGAATCTCTAATAAGCCGAGCTAAGCAACCCCAAAAACACAAATTTACTTCAGGAACAAAAATAAACCTAATCAAGCCATAATCATATTCAATTTACGTATCTGCACCTTCTTTGATTTGACCAAAAGGAGAAAACAATTGCCTCAGAGATTGATCTGTAGTATAAGCAGATAACCCTGCAAGATAACAATTTCAGAAACCAGAGCAAGTAAAAAGAGCAAGACTCTAATCAGAGATGAGAAGAATCCATTATCATACTGCTTACGAAGAGTTGAGCTGAGATTCTTTTAGCCATCTTTAACAATAATCGAAACTGATTCAGAAATGACTCAAAGAACAAAACTTTTCTAGGTTTAACGCTCGAGTGATACGATGACGTTTTTGGGGAAAATTCCACTCAAAACGACTACGTTTTGAGAAGCAACACCAATTCTGGTTAATTTGCAGAGTGAAGAAGAGATAACATTTCAGCAAAAAAGATCAAGCTTTGATTGATTTAAGAACAAGATCGGATCTGGTTTGATTACATAACAATAAGAAAAAACACCAAAAGAAAACGAAATTCAGAAACTACTAATAGTCAACAACCATCAAATCTAAAAACCCTAATTTTACAATTCGATCCACACAATTCAAGAACTAGTAAACTTCGTCACCGCCTTAGTTCCTTCAGAGACAGCGTGTTTCGCAAGTTCACCAGGAAGAACAAGTCTAACAGCAGTTTGAATCTCCCTTGAAGTAATCGTCGGCTTCTTATTATACCTCGCAAGCTTCGACGACTCCGACGCCAATTTCTCGAAGATATCATTAATAAAACTGTTCATAATTCCCATAGCTTTGCTTGAAATACCAATATCTGGATGAACTTGTTTCAGAACCTTGAAGATGTAGATCTTGTACGTCTCAACACTCTTCTTCTTCATCTTCTTCTTCTTGTCTCCGCCGACGCCGGCTTCTTTCGGGAGTTTCTTGCCGGCTTTTGGTTTCTTCTCTGCCGGAGCTTTCTCGGCTTTTGATTTCTCTTCCACTGGTTTTTTCTCTGCTGGCTTTTTCTCTGCCTTTGGTGCCATTTTCTTCACAAGAAAAAAAGTTTCGGAATTTAGAAGATAAAATCGTGAGAACAAGTTTTGTGATTGTGTGTGTTGTTTAATCGATTTGGTAGCTGATGTATATATACGACTATGAGTTAGATACTGATTGGTTGGTTCTTATTTCACGAGGATTGATGACGTGGAAGATATTACGTACCGTTAGATTAGAATAAATCCGTCGTTGGCAGTGAACGGCTAAGAATCTCTCACCTTTTTAATTGGGCCATTAAGAACCGAATCAAAAATAATTACGAGTTTCGTATATTTTAACGGGCTAAAATGGGCCTAAGATGTATCTATAATGGGCCTAATAAAACATGAATCTAACCCGATTCCATAACCAACCCATGAAGCGATAAAAGCGAAAACCCTAATTTTATTTCCGTCTTCTGTTTAATCTCTTCGTCTTCAAGACCAAGCGAGAGAGAGAGACGTCGGGGCGGCTGCTACTTAGGTTTCAGGTTAGTATTCGCCGGAATATCCATCTCTCCTCACCTTCTCGTTTAGTTAGTTTCCCCAATTTGATGTTTCTCCGGAGAATCTAGGTTTCAAGCTTTCGTTTATATCATTTTCACAGTCATGTTGTGTAATTTTCGGGAATCAAATTCGTTGCCTCTGTAGATGTTTTTATGGAAACGTCAATAAGCTTAAGATTTGTTGATTTATGATTTAGCAGTTTTTGAAGAATGGTAAGAATCAGTGTGCTCAATGATGCTCTTAAGAGTATGTACAATGCTGAGAAGAGAGGAAAGAGGCAGGTTATGATCAGGCCTTCTTCTAAAGTTATCATCAAGTTCCTTATCGTCATGCAAAAGCACGGTACGATAACTTTGCAAAGCTTAGCTATGATTTCTGTATACAGGTTTCAAGTGTAATGATGCTTTTCTTGGATTTTTAGGTTACATTGGCGAGTTTGAGTATGTTGATGACCACAGGTCTGGTAAGATTGTTGTTGAGCTTAATGGAAGGCTGAACAAGTGTGGTGTTATCAGTCCTCGTTTCGATGTCGGTGTTAAGGAGATTGAAGGATGGACTGCTCGTCTACTTCCTTCTAGACAGGTTAGTCTAGAGACTGTAGAACATAAGATTTGACTTAATGCTACGAATACACGCTTGTATTGATCTGCTGCCTTACTTTGTTGTTCATATTATGGTTTAATCGGGTGTCAAGTGTCATTACTAGTAGATTGACATAAGCTTACTTCATCTTTCAATGTGACAACTTCATTGAACGCGTCTCTCTGTGTGCAGTTTGGTTACATTGTTTTGACTACCTCAGCGGGAATCATGGATCACGAAGAAGCGAGGAGAAAGAATGTTGGTGGCAAAGTTCTTGGGTTCTTTTACTGAAGCAGGTTCTCGAGATCTATCTTATCGGGTTATAGTTTGGTTCTCCTTATGTGGAGGGAGTGAGTAAGTCGATTGACCTCACTGTTAAAGTAGTAGTTTTGTATGTGGTTGGTTACTCGGATGCTTAAGAACTTGGAGATGGGTAGACTAATTTATTTCAGTTTTTGAATTCGTTAGACTTGCGATTTATGAAAGCAAAATCATCTTTCTTGACTTATCGTTAAATGTGGCATTTACTCATTTTGGAGTCGTACTCTTCTTGTTTGTTTTTTGTTAAAACCATTTTTAAAAAATGTTTTTCATTTAGAAAGTTCATTCAAATACAAACAATCTTTGAGTGAACTATGCAAATCAAAAGATAATTTAGAAATAACTTTTCTAAGATCTGTACGGTTTTGTGGTTTTCATGTGTTAAGAGAATTTTGAAGTAAACATTAGCTAATGAAATTTGACTGTTGTTTGGAAACTTGCAATAATTCTCAAAACTAAAATAAGATCCGATGATGTGAAGTTCCTTCTATGACAAAATAAGTCACACTAACATTCTGACTTTTTGTATTAGAAAATTTTAAAGTTGATGACAAAATAAGTTAAAAATTCTGACAAACAAAAATTGAATAGTTTTCCTTCCAAAAGCCTTCTTGTTTCAACAAATCTAAAAATCAAATTATGTTATGCTACAAATGACCTCAAAAACAATGATCTTTGGGAGGAAACTTTCAGCTCCACGACATTTCTCCTAATTCCTAAATATTTGACAAGTCAATATGATATATATGCAATCTCAAAAATAGTACATAGTGAACAATTTATGTAAGGCTCAGAAAATTTTTACCGATTATATTTACATTCTCGAATATTTATCGTTTGTTCCCTTTTAATACATATATATATATATATATATATATATATATATATCAGTTTTTATTATAAATCAGAATTATCTGAAAATAATTCATGGTAAATATATATAACCTTTTAAATATTTTTTTCAAAATGATTTATCAGATATTCAGATTAAATTAGTGTAGTACATAGTAGTATTTGTTACAAAAAAAAAAGATTACTATAGTATTGATTTAGTCCAGCTAATTGATTTGGATTTAAACTAATTAATAAAAGGCCCATAAGGCTTCGTGCCTTCTTCTATAATAGGCCCTCCAAAAAGAAGAATCCTTCTCTCTTTTTCAGCGCACTCCTTCGGTTCCAGCTAACGTGCGCAGTGTATCCTATCGTGCACGCGAAGCAGAAGAAGTAAAATAGAAGAAGCAAAAAGCTAAATCGGGACTGGCGCATTTTAGCCGTCCGCCATAACCTTCGCTCTTCGCTCTCTGATTCTTCCGATTACATCGGTTTTCTTCTCTCTCCGGTACACGATCTTCTTCCTTCCGCAGCCGATTCATTCGATTTCTGGCTCTATCTCGATGAAACTAAGTTTTTGATCTTTGAGTTTTTTTTTTTCTCCGTCAGATTCAATGGCTGCTCCTCCTGCTAGAGCCAGAGCTGATTACGATTATCTCATTAAGCTTCTTTTGATTGGAGATAGCGGTACGTTGATCTGAAACCTCTTCGATCGTGGATCCGTTGAAATTTTCTGAATCTATTCGTTTGTAATTGAATCGATCTATTCGCTGTGATCGTTGTGTGGATCGGTCTTTGTATCGAGAGATCTCTGTAACCTAGGGTTTGTTTTTTTTGTAGGTGTTGGTAAAAGTTGTCTTCTTCTACGTTTCTCTGATGGATCTTTCACCACTAGCTTCATTACCACCATTGGGTTTGTTTTCTCTTTGCTATGGAGATATTGAATTCTGTGATGTTTGTTTTGATTGACGTTTTACAGAGTGTTGTTTCTCTATTTTGCTTTGATGTAGCATTGACTTTAAGATAAGAACGATTGAGCTTGATGGTAAACGTATCAAGCTTCAGATTTGGGATACCGCTGGTCAAGAGCGGTTTCGGACTATCACTACTGGTGAGTTTTATCTTTTCATATGAATTTGCTTGCTGGATTAGAACTTAGAGCATTCGCAATCCCAGTATGAATCAGATTAGATAGATTCTCGAGGAGATGAACACTTACATGTGCTATGATCTCTTGTGCAATGCCACTTGATTGATTTGCTTTGTTTGGGTGATTACTTTGCTTGGTCTTGTGTAGTTGAGGTTGTTGGGCTATTTCAGCATTTTATAGTTCATTTTTCATATAAATCTACTTGCTGATCACTTTACTTAGCATTCACCATCACAATAGAAGTCAAGTTAGAAAGATTGTTGAGATGAGATTGACGACAAACACGTATAAGAAGTAGTCTTAGATAGCCACTTATAGGTAAAGGGGATGTATTTGTGCAATGCCACTTTACTGATTTGCTTTCTTTGGCTAATTACTTTCCTAGGTATTGTGTAGATGATGTTGTTCAGCTACTTCGGCAGTTTATCTTTGATCTGTTACATTTCTTTCAACGCCAGTTTGAAGATTCTTTTCCTTTTGCATTTTTTCACAGCTTATTACCGTGGGGCAATGGGCATTTTGCTGGTATATGATGTCACCGATGAGTCGTCCTTCAACAGTAAAATTCCAATCCATGAAGTCTTTCACTTACTGGTTTCTTTGAAATTTCTTAACTGAAAGGATCGTTTCTTTTACACACAAGATTCTTGACGTTATTGCAGACATTAGGAACTGGATTCGTAATATCGAACAGCATGCTTCAGATAATGTTAACAAGATCTTGGTAGGGAACAAGGCTGACATGGATGAAAGCAAGAGGGTATGAATCACACCGCCTTTATCCCTGTTCATGATTCACGACTGATCCTAACAATAAGAACTTCTTGGTCCTGTCACAATTTTCAGGCGGTACCTACAGCAAAGGGTCAGGCTCTTGCTGATGAGTACGGAATTAAGTTCTTCGAAACAGTAAGTCTAATAATGCTCTCAATCATCAAAACTAGATGGGTAGTGTACACATTGCTTACACATCTAGCTATATATGTGTTGTCGCAGAGTGCCAAGACAAACCTAAACGTGGAAGAAGTTTTCTTCTCAATAGGGAGGGACATTAAGCAGAGGCTTTCAGACACCGACTCGAGGGCAGAGGTTTGTTACATCTCTCTCTTCTCTTTCACATCTTTGCGTTGTTAGGTCTGAAAAAGCATTGTTTCACGCGTCTGTCGTCAATTGCAGCCTGCAACTATCAAGATAAGCCAAACGGACCAAGCAGCTGGAGCTGGACAGGCCACACAGAAATCTGCATGCTGTGGAACTTAAAAGTTCAAGAAGTTTTAAAAGTGAAGTTTAAGTCGAAAAAAAGTTTGAGGTGAAGTGAAAAAACTAAGATATCGTTGGGTGCTTCTGTAATTTTTGTTTTATGCCAACATTTCTGATTCGTTCTAAATTGTCCTTCCTATTTGTACGAAGGTTTAATCGAAACATGTATTTTTTTCTTACTCTGTTGCTGATTTTTAATGATGGTGACTGAATTGTTATGTTGGTCATCTCTTCTCTCTATATATCATCATCACCTCTATTCTTATGTTTCTCTTGCTTCCTCTTTTATCAAGTCTTTAAACATTACTTCTAAGACTTGTAAACCTTATCTTTAACACAACCATAAGTGTTGTTGAACTATGAATGGTTTAACAACTAAATTAAACGTATAATTTGTGTTAGCTTATTCAATTCAGTGATCATGAAACTTAATCATATTATTTTAGTTGCACAACAGTAACTAAGCTGCCAACACTTATATTGTAGTTTCAACTCTACTTAAACCATTCGTAGTTCAACAACATTCAAGGGTTAGTAAAACGTGAAACCAAAATTTGCGAACAATAAAAGAAATCTTGAATAGTATCAAATTGTATTCATGTATTCACATCGAACAGTAAGATAAATGGATCAACAAAGACTAAATCAATGCAAAAAACTCTATATGTAAGATGTTTTTTTGTCTATCAATAAAACTAAAACCCTAATTAACGAACATGAAAAATCAGTACATGGTTCTTCCCAACTCCAACTCCGTATTGACCAAACTCTCCACCGAAGTTAAGTCCAAATCCAAACACGCCACTCTCTTCCCACTACTCGATTTCTTCAAAGTCGTCACCGTTGTCGTCTCCGGCAAGAAAGAACGCGTAACCAATTCGTTAGAGGCTTGTTCTTTCTCGTTCCTATGCTTCCTCATGTGACCACCAAGAGCTTGTCCCATCGGAAAATCCAAACCACAAATCGGACAAGTATGAGACGACGACGTCGTCGTAGTTTTAGGTTTCTTCTTAGGTAATCCAGGTAGTGATTTATCGTCGCTGTTGATAAGTTTCGTGTGGCTTGCACGGTGGCCTCCTAAAGCTTGGAACGAAAAGAAGTCTCTCTTACAAGTCTTGCATCGGAAAACACGTTTCTTTCCTCCGTCGTGTTCCCCAACTTTCGATAACAACATCAGACAGTTCGCCGCCGTATCCACCGTCAGATCAAGATTATCGCTTCCCGCAACCATGATTAGTATTTGAATTGAGTGAGTGTCGTGACTTCTAGGGTTTTATGCTTATGTGTGTCGTGACTTCTAGGGTTTTATGCTTATGTGTGTCGGTGTCGTCGTGTGATGGATACTCACTTTCTGTTATATATAGGAAAAAATTGGATTGAGTTAAAGACGTTAATTGACGAAAATACCCTCTTGTGACTTGCTGCGTAAGTTAGTGAAAATTGTATGAAGTGGGAAGCTGCGGTGTAAAGGAATTGAGAATCAGAGTCACCGCTTTTACACTTAAGTCTCGGAAAAATGAAAATATTCATTTGTGAAGAAAAGGAATATTCTTGTTGCTTTCCTCCACTAATTAAATACAATTATACAAATATTGAAACACTATGAACAAGTGTTAATTATTTTATCCAAAAACCAAGTTTTAATTATTATTATTATATATCATTGTCTAATAAATATTTTACTCTTTCCAATTTGTTCTCTTCGGGTTCGTGTTCCTAAGCCGTCTTTTAGGTTTTTCTTTTCTTAAAACTAAATTTTTTCTTGTTTAAAAAAAAAATTTAAATTTTTCTTGATTGATTGGGAAAATCTATTTGGTTGGATATTCATTATCCATATTCCTAATAAATATCCTTACCACCAAGG